TTCATGCAGGGCCAGTTCCCTATCCACTGTATTGTTTCACTCCAAGTTACTGTTTGTTTTTGAAAGAAAACATGAATGGGGCTGGCATATGGCTAAGCAGTTAAGTGCATGAGACCTGGGTTCAGTCTCCAGCAGCCCCCATTAAATTACTGGACAGCAAACAGAACTGCCAGTTCATTACAATTCTGTTTCCACATCCACTCAGAGTCTGGGGGTGAAGGGGACTCAGGGGTGCCAACCTTCAGCTCCAGCAGAATCCAATCAAGGAGATATGCCACGCAGCTGCTGGCTCTCATTGGCCCCCCACACATGAAAGGGCACAGCAGCTGGAATTCAGTCCACATTCTGCTCCCCACGTTGTGGGTCTGAGACTGCAAGAAGGATGGGGTCCCTGTTTCTGATAGTAATCAAGCTCCCGAGTAATCACTTGGGGTTTCTCAACCTTCTTCCTACCATGGCCTCCTTATGACCTTCTTGGGGCTTCCACCCCCAGTCCTACTGGTTGGCTACCATATGACCCCCTCTGCCCCACCATTGATACAATTTTCATCTTTTGACCCTTTGGCCTCCACTTGAGACATGCTGATCTAGGCGCTTCTTTGGGAGCCACACCTGGTTGTGCTTAGGGCTTGCTCCTGGCTCTGTCTGTGCTCAGGGATTGCTCCTGGTGGGCTCAGGGGACCATATGTGGTGCCGGGATTTAACCTGTGTGGCCACATGCAAAGTAAGTGCACTACCCACTTTTTGCCCAGCTCTGATCTGTGTAATTCTAGATTTTTCTCTCAGACTGGTTCTTTCTTTTTCCAGGTCTGCTTGTGACTGTCCTTACACCAGAAAGGAAGATGAGGACGCAACTGAGTTGCAGGCAGGTGCGATCCCCATTTCAGTCTGTGGTGAGTTTCCATGGCTTTGCGCCTGGTCTTGAGTCCACTTGAAAAGTTTTGGACTCAGTATCCAAAAGGTAGTGAGATTTTTATTATCTCTCCCCTATGTTTGCTTCGGGGTTCATTTTCTCTTTTTCTGTTTTCTCTAGCTGACCTCTGTGTACCTGAATAGCTGTCAGTTTCCCCCTTGGTATTGCTTTTGCTGTGTCCCATAGATCCTGGTAGTTGGTGTCTTCATTCTCACTTGTTTCAGGAATCTTTCGCTTCCTTTTTGATCCAGTTGTGAGCAGCATATTGTTTAGTTTCCAGGTATTTAGTATTTTTGACACTCTTTTTGTATTTGATTCCTACTTTGGTGGTGGTTTGAGAAGATACGTGGTATGATTTACTCTTTTGTGATTTTATGGATGTTCAAATTGTGTTCCAACATGTGATATGTCCTGCATAGAATGTCCCGTGTGTTGTGGAGAAGGCATCCTCTTTTCTTTTTTAGCAAGTGGAGGGTCCTGAATAGAATAAAAATTGTTTCTTTCATTTTTGGGGGGAGGCCACACCGGTGATGCTGAGGGGTTCCCCCTTACTCAGCACTCCAGAATCACTCCAGGTGGTGCTTGGGGGACCATTTGGGATGCCAGGGATTGAATCCAAGTCTGCAATATGCAAGGCAAGCCCTCTCTCTATTGTACTATCTCTCTAGCCCCCCCCAAATCATGCAGTTTTCAGCAGTGTGGATGGAACTGGAGGATATCGTGCTGAGTAAGGTCAGTCAGAAAGGGACAGATCCAGAATAATCTCTCTCACATATGAGACTTAAACAAAGGCCCAAAGGCAACATAATGAGAAAACTGATTCACACAGCTGGGTTGGAGGGAGAGGTTTGAGAAGACCGGGTGTTGGGGTTCTTGGGAGAGGGAGGTAGGTACACTGGTGATGGGTGTGCCAGAGGAACTCTATGCATGAGAAACCATTATAAATAGTATTGTAAAAAAGGTAAAAAGGTAAAGGCCCTCCCGTTGATCGTCGATTTGCTCGAGCGGGCCCAGTAACGTCTCCATTGGAGACTTTGTTGTTACTGTGTCTGGCATATCGAATACTCTCGGTAGCTTGCCGGGCTCTCCGAGAGGGGCGGAGGAATCGAACTCGGGTCGGCCGTGTTGGCCACTTGTAAGGCGAACGCCCTACCCGCTGTGCTATCGCTCCAGCCCCACCACAGAATCTTAATTAAAAAACATTTTTAATTACAAATTTTTTTTCCAAGATAGGGTGTTGGGGGGGATGTTGCTTTTATCATTTGATTCCATTTATCATTTTGGTTTTCACTTGGTTCTCAACTTTTACCAAATTATCAAGCAAAAATTAGATGTTTTCACTAAGAAATTCCTCCATAAGCCCCTGTATTCCCAGGATAGCTGTTTGGCCTCTGCAGTCACTCCCTGGGGTATAGCTGACCATCCATTAGGAGCAAACAGGTTCCTATCATTTGCCCTCAGTTGTTGTGTTGAAATGCCGGAAGGATCTACGTGTTGTTGACTGGGATGGACATATTCTGGGGAGGGGTGCTGGGACTGCAGAGACTGTTTGAAATGCAAACTGTTGTCTAAGCACCTCACCAGCTTCCCCACCCTCCAGTACTAGAGAGGTCCAATTTCCCGCTGACTCTGGGTGCATGGTGTTTGCTTTTTTTTTTTTTCAAAGTCATTCCGGTGTGTCTGACATAGCAGAGCTTTGATGTGCATTTTCTGGATTTCCTCTTCTGCTCCTTGGCTCTGAGGACCTTCTCCCATCCTGCAGGGGGCTTTTCACAGAAAAGTTTGATGTGGTTGGATCCCACTGACCGTGTTTGTTTCTTGTGACCTGTTTCAGTGGCAGATGTACCTAAGCTAAGTCACTCCCAAAGCTTGCCATCTTTTTTATTTTTTGAGAGGGATGGTTTGAGATTCCATCCACTTGTGCTTTGGACCTATGGCTCTCAGGGCTTACTCCTGGCTTTTTGCTCAGGGTTCATACTTGGTGGAGGTGCTGGAGGAGGTGGGAGGACCATTTGCAGGACTGGGAATTAAACTGGGGTCAGCCTCATGCAGGGCAAGCACCTTAACGCTGAAGCCTGCCGGGATCCAAGCTAGGTTGACCATGTCTCCTCCCTACTGTACGGTCTCACTGACCCTATATTCCCCCCTTAAAGAGAACCAGATTATGTTATCTGCATGTCCATGTGTGTTTGCATGTCTGTGTCCATGTCTGCCCAATCCATGGTCAATAACTGAATTCATCTTCTCATTTGATTCTGCGCAGTGTCCCAGTAACACACACCTGGGGACATGTCACACCAGCAGGCAGTTGAACACAGATGGTGCCCTTACCAACAGTGCAGTGACATCTGTCTTCTAAACAGACATGGGGTTCTAGGCCCAGGGAGACACCGCAAGTAACATTTACTCAGTATTTTATTCTTACTTTTACCATTCAGGAGACTTGAAGATGGTTAATGTAGTTCCCCTACCCCCCAGGTATAAACAAATAGAGTCACCCCCCACACTTTGTGGGAAGGTAAACCAGGTAGTATAGTAATGAATGTTCTTCCTCAGATGCTCTCTCTGAATAAGAACACATCAGAGACTTCTAGTACTAGGAACAACCCAGACTTTTCTTATGAGTGAGTTATTTTCCAGACCTTATGAGACCACTTTCATTTAAAAAATATTTTTGTTTGGTTATTTGAGCCATACGCAGCAGTGCTCAGGGTTTACTCCTGGTTGTGCACTTAGGTAGGAATTACTCCTGGTGGTGCTCAGGGAGTGTATGAGATATTGGGGATTGAACTCGAGTCAGCTGTGTGCAAGGCCACTGCCTGCCAGCTATACTATTACCCTGGCCCCTGAGACCATTTTCATAGCTGTATGTATGTTTCATAAAGTACTTTTTTCAAACAGTCCTTTATTAGAAAGATAGGTTCTTTCATTTTGTTTTCTGGGTCATAGAGTGGCAGCTACTTTCAGCTCATTGCTTGGGGGAATCATGTGGCAGGGGTAGAGCTTGGGATCCCCCATGAGAGCCTGCATTCCATTCTGCCATGCTCACCCCAGCTGGCACTTGTCTTTTCCCTATCAGGTTAATCATCTTTGAATACTTTCTTTCTCTGTCATTTCCCAAGGCAAAACCGCTGTATCACAGGACATTTTTGGGGAAATAAGGGGTGCCCCAAGGATCTGGAGGCCAGTCCCTATGATTCTTGGCCACCATGGCTGGTGGTCCAGTTCCCTGTCCTGAAAACGCTGACAGGCCCGCAGTGCTAGGGGCTATTGGGCCTCCAGGGGACCTTTGGCAGCACTGGGGATTGGGCCACGGGAGGTGGTGGCAGGGCAGGTGCCTTTATGCTGTGCTCTTGCTGCCCTCAAAAGCTATTTTGATGCAAGCCAAAGGTCACTGCTATTGACAGATTGTTGCATCCACAAGTGGGGTTCATCCTGAGCAATGTATTTAGTGACACCCCAGCTAACTCGGTTAGGGTCCTTTCACACCCACAGTTGGGGTGCGATGTGAAAAATCTCAGAATCTCCTGGAGTCTCTGTCTGAGGGTTTGAAGTAAAGATGGATTCTTAGAGGAGCCCATCTGGCCCGCACCAGAACAAGGCAAGACAAGGAGAGCATGTCTCTCTACTCATGGCTCAGGTTTTACTCAGAATCTTTTTGATCACTGGAAATGGCTTTGAACAGCCTAACAGTAAACCCCTACTGCAATGAACTTAGGTTCAGCTCTTATAATCATAGAAATGGCAGTTTTATTGTCAAGGAACAAAAAACTGACTTCTTGGTCTGTAAAATACAAAGGCGATACTTTCACGCGGTACATAGTGCCACGCCACTGTGGATGTGCAGGGGCCAGTCCCGTGGGTAGAAATGGGGAAAAACAGTGGCAGCGTGGAACTCCCCAGCTCTGATTCCCATTTCCTGGAGTGAATATTAAGGCTACTTGCAGGACTCCTCTGAGTGTCAGTCATTTTGGATGGAGGGGTCCTGGGAGGGCTGTCGTAACCCCTTTCAGTGTGAGACCCCACCCCACCCCACACCCCTCGGGTACCGGTCTGAGGCACGCATGGCTCTACATGGTAGATACGTGGTATGCGGCTTCACGGTACAGGCGATGTCAAGTACGTGGGGCTCATTTTAGTCCACATTCTGCCCATGGCTGTCCCTGCCACAGCCTCTCCTAGGTACAGGCCAAGGAGCTTCTGTGCGTACCTGTTGTGTTACCACGGGAGAACGCAAAACATTTGGAATTCTGTTATGACACAGACCACACATCTCTAGAACAGATGAGAGAAAAACCTGTGAAATCCATGCTTGTGATGATTCACAGAACAGCCTTTGGGGGTGGGTGGGCCACCCAAGTCATGCTCAGGGGGCCCCACCAGGCAGTACTCAGCTGGGGCTGTGTGTCCATGTTGGGGGTCTGTGGACCCCCATGGTGCTGGCAACCTTCAGAGCTACATCCGGTGATGCTCTGATGGCTGAGTAGTGCTGGGGATCACATCTGGATCAGACTCATGTGCCCTGGCCCTGGTACTATCTCCCAAACAGCATTTTTTAAGTTTTGGGGTCACACGTGGTGATGTGTAGGGGTTACTCCTGGCTCTGCATTCAGGAATCACTCCTGGTAGTGCTCGCAGGGACCCTATGGGATGCTGGGGATTGAACCCAATTGGCTGCATGCAAGGCAAGCACCCTGCAATCGCTCCAGCCCCCCAAGTAGCACCTTTTAAATGCACCTCCTTTCCCGTGATGCTTCCTTGAAGTCTGTGTATTCTGAAGGAGCTCTGGCCCACCACCAGCACCCAGAGGAGAGAGAGGGAGCCATCCCTGCAGGCCCTGCGAAGCTGCCCTACAGATTCCCTCCAGCGTGGACCCTCTGGTGGTAGACGAGGTGTGACCTCTGGCTGAAGCCCTTGCAGCACACACCGCAGACGTACGGCCGCTCCCCAGTGTGCACTCGCTGGTGCGTGTGGAAGTGGGAAGCCTGGCTGAAGCCCTTGCCACACTGCTGGCATATGTAGGGCTTCTCGCCTGTGTGCACCCGCTGGTGGGCGCTGAGCCCGGCGCTCCAGCTGAACTCCTTACCACACTCCTCACACCGGAAGGGCTTCTCCCCGGTGTGCACTATCTGGTGCACCTGGAGGTTGGAGCGCTGGCTGAAGGCCTTCCCGCACGTCTCGCACTTAAACGGTTTCTCGCCCGTGTGCACCCGCTGGTGGGCCTGCAGGTGGGAGGCCTGGCTGAACCGCTTCTGGCACGCCTGGCACTTGAAGGGCTTCTCGCCGGTGTGGACGCTCTGGTGGGCCTGCAGGTTTGAGGCCTGGCTGAAGCCCTTGCCGCACTCATCACACTTGTAGGGCTTCTCGCCTGTGTGCACACGCTGGTGGTTGTGCAGGTTCAGGCTCCAGTTGAAGCGCTTGCCACATACCTCACACTTGTAGGGCTTCTCACCCGTGTGCACGCGCTGGTGTGCCTGGAAGTAGGAGCTCTGACTGAAGCCCTTCCCGCACACACCGCAGTGGAAGGGCCTCTCCCCGGTGTGCACGCGCTGGTGGCTCTGGAAGCTGGAGGCCGAGCTGAAGCCCTTGCCGCACTCGCTGCAGTGGTAGGGCTTCTCGCCCGTGTGCACGCGCTGGTGGCTCTGCAGGTTGAAGCTCAGGCTGAAGCGCTTGCCGCACTCACCGCAGCAGTAGGGCTTTTCCTCCGTGTGCACGCGCTGGTGCGTGTGCAGGTTCGAGCTGCAGCTGAAGCGCTTCCCGCAGGCTCCGCACGTGTAGGGCTTCTCGCCCGTGTGGATGCGCTCGTGCGCCTGCAGGTGCGAGCGCTGCGTGAAGCCCTTTCCGCACGCCCCGCACTTGTAGGGCTTCTCGCCCGTGTGGACCCGGCAGTGGATGTTGAGGTCTGTGCTCCGGCTGAAGCCCTTACCGCAGGCCCCGCACGTGTAGGGCTTCTCGCCTGTGTGGATGGGCAGGTGTGCATAGAGGTGTGAGGTCTGGTTAAAGCTCTTGCCGCATTCCAGGCACGAGTAGGGCTTCTCGCCGGTGTGGACGCGCTGGTGGGTCTGCAGGTTTGAGCTCTGGCTGAAGCCCTTCCCGCATTCTTGGCACCAGTAGCGTTTCTTGCTGCCGCGGGCACTCAGGGGCCCAGGCACAGCTGGGCTGTCGCTGTGGGCCTCTTTCTGGGGTGGTTGGGATGCAGAAGACCCCTTTTCCCCTGCGTGTCCCTGCTGCCATGCTCCCCGGCTGCGGATATCCCTGGGGGCTGTCTTGCGTGCTGCATCTGGGCAGGCGTCTGGCATACAGTCATCACGGGGGACTCTGTCTTGCCGGGGTCGCGGGATGCAGGCAAACATGTGGGAAGCACAGTGGGGCTGCACACACCGGGGGCTACTTGCCACATCAGCCTGGTGCCAGAAGGCCTGTGCCAGGCCAGTGAACGTGTGGCAGCTCCTGCCCCCACAGGGTGAACCTGGTGGCTCTGGGCACTGAGAGCCACCTGGATGGGTCAGTGCCAAGGCGCAAGTCCTGGCCAGTTTGTTGACAATGTGTCTCTGGATCTGCCAGCACGAGAGCTCCCGCAGTGAAGGGCACCACATCGCAGGATCCGGCCCCGGCTTGATCCCAGGTGGACCTCCTGGAAGGGGAGAGTGGGAGAGAGTGAGTGCAGGGAACACGACAGCGGTATGGATGGGGAGGATAGAGTGGGGCTGGGGACAGCAGTGGGGGTGGGTGAGGGCTCCCCCAGGGAACATGTAGAAACTAGAGAAGGGGTGACAGGACACACTGAGCCTCCAGGTCCCCATTTCTAGGCTGCCGATCCCCCAGCAAATGCTTTATTGCTTGGGGCTTTGCAGTTTCATCTCCTGGGCATGAGTCCTGCTGAGCTTCCAGGAGACTGACCAGGGCTGGCCTGGGGCACAGCATGGACTGATCCCAGCTGCACTGGGGTGGTACCTGGAGCACAGCAGCAGATTTGGCCAAGCCTAACAGAATACGGCCTGCAGGTAAACCCTGACCCGTAGTCTTGTCTGTTTGCCAACAGATGAAGCTACCACCCACAGATCTCACAAGGGTTGAGGATGAGACCCTTCCCTTATGGGGTCCTGTGTCTGCATGGGGGGCATGGCTGAAAGCAGCCTGGCTTGGAGGAAAATGGGTCTGAGAGCCGTGTTCCCCATGAGACTTAAGAGCAGTTTTCTAAAGCATTTCTTAGAATGGCCATTGTGGGGAGCACCAGGCAGGTGGGTGGCGACAAAGGACGAACTGTGCTCTCCATCCCCATTTCCCCCTTCCGCCATCTGAGTCTCACTGTCCTCTGCAAATTCTAATGGCCTGTTCATTGCAAGGAGCCCCCTCAGGTCTGCCTGGAACACTTGGGAGGGTCCCAGGGGGTGCTCAGATTCCACATTTTTCCCTTCCCAGCCCAGAGGCCTCTAAATAAGGCACAATCAATCCGGGTGCAGTGAGGGGGTGGGGGGCTTTCTGCACATCTGTTCCTGCCTCATGGACTGACCAGGGCTGGGCTGGGGAACAGCGTGGACTGATCACAGCTGCGCTGGGGTGGAGTGTGATCCGCCACCCCAACTACCCCAGTGGGAAAACTGGGAGAATGGATTTCAAATAAGTTTCCCCCTACATACTTGGGCATTGAGAAAGATCTGCTCCCCCAACTGGGACCAAGGCTGGGAATCAGGTGTTTCAGATCTGTTCCCCTGAACTCCAGTGTCCAGGCAGAGGGACAGATGGACAGAAACCTTTCCCACTTAGTGTTTCCCAGTATGGGCTGGGGGCAGGGCAGTAATAATGTTGTTTTTGAACCACACTGGCAGTGCTCAGGGCGTAAGCCTGGTGGGACCACAAGGGGTGCCAGGAACTCAGGTCAGCCGTGTGCTAGGCAAGTTTCCTCTCCACTGTGCTGTCCCAGATGGTTAAGTCTCACTTCATAACGGCCCCCCAAACCCTCTCTGGGCACGTAAAATCTAGCTCTCTTCAACAAACTTTCCAAAAATGAAGTTCTTCATCCCTTAGCAAAGAGTCATTCTCACTCTACAAAGCTGCCTAAAGTACAGGGCAGTGGGGAATAGCAATGAAGGCACCACATCTGGTCCCCCAAGCACCGCTGGGTGTGTCCCAAGAATGGAAGGAAAGGTAGTTTCAACCCTAGGCTGGGGAAGTAGCGTAAAGGCTGGAGCATGTGCCTGGCAGCCACATCCTCCCCAACCAGCTGCATGACGATGGGTCTCTCAGAGCTTTAGCAATGGCCAGTTCTCAGCAGTAATTCGGACCTCAGCTTCTCAAACCAGCATCTCTCGGCTGGGGGTCTCAGTGGGCAATGGCTGAGGAACAGGCTAAACTCGGTGGGAACATCTGTGCAGCGCCGAGTTGACTGAGTGGGCTGATGTGCCATGACCCACTACAAGGCATTCATGGGAAGGGAAACCGTGAAGATGGGTCATGGGGGCTCTCTTACTACCTATGAGCCACTTCTAGAGATTTATTTCAAAATCCTAAGCTTGTGCTTTTGGCCGTGCTCAAGAATCCATTAGGTGGTGCCTGGGTTCCTTCACACCAGCTTCACAACTGGGGAAGGAAGAACCTCACCCCTCAGACTCGTTGTTTTGTTTTTCTGACCATGCCCAGCAGCACATGAGGAACCATCTGGGGATTAAACCCAATTGGCCATGTGCAAGGCAAGTGCTTGTCCCTTTATTATTTCTCCAGTCCCACCAGCCCGTTTTTTTTTCTTTTTGGGTCACACCCGGTGATGCACAGGGGTTACTCCTGGCTCTGCACTCAGGAGTTACTCCTGGCAGTGCTCAGAGGACCATATGAGATGCTGGGAATTGAACCCGGGTTGGACGCGTGCAAGGCAAATGCCTTATCTGCTGTGCTCTCTCTCCAGCCCCGTTTCTATTTTTTAAAGAGGTGAGCTTTAGGGGCTGGGAGATAGTATATCAGTTAGGACACTTGCTCAGCATGTACCCAACCTGGGATGCATCCCAAGCACCACTAGGTGTGGTCCCCATGTCCCCCCCACCAATAACAAGTACTACTGGGGCTTACAAATATCGTCCCATTAAATCACTGCTACCATCACATAAGTTCCTCAGTTTGGTCGTTATTTTATGATGACCTTAGTGGAGAATACAAATAATTTTAGAATTTTTTGGTTTATAGATATTGAGAACTCACCCACTTCTGTCGATGGCCTGAGCATCCAAAAAAGTCTCTGTCATTATTGTTCTAAGGATACACTTGGAATCTGGGGGGCAGAGCTTGCCCCTCCAAACCTCTACAGGCTTCAGTCTGCTGCATCGGATAGGTTTAAATCCCGACCCCCACTTTAAGGCGATACCTAGGGCACTCCCAGTGACCCTTAGCCACTGGTCTGAAGGTTCAATTCTTGGGTCCAGTGATGCCGCTGGGGATCAACCTTGGGGCCCAAACCTTTCACTCTCTTTCCCGCCTCATGGAACTATTTCATTTCTTAAATAGGATTAGGGGTCAGGGAGATGGCCCAAAGGGTTCGTTTCTAAGCAGGAGTCCAAGGTTTGATTCCTCAAGCACATCTGGCTGTGCCCACACCCAGAAAACAAATAAAGACACATAGAATTATGTCATCTAGGTGGTCAGAACTATTGCAAGGATTAAAGGCACTTAAAGTACTTCTTATCACACATGATTGGTTAAAGAGCGGGAGCACAGCAGGCTGGAGCTTAGACACTGAATGCAAAAGGCTCAACATTCATTCTCTCTCCTGCATAGAATTCCTCTGCTCTATCCCCTGCATCAGAGACTTCTCTAAAGCACACAGTAGCTGCATTTCTAAGTATATGAGTAGAGTCAGAGAAAATGAGAAAGACAGTTTGACTTAGGAGGTAAGAGGCAATGGACAGGAGCCCCTTGCCCTCTTACCCAGGGGCTCCCTTCCCCACGGCCCATTCCTTAGACAGCATTTATCAGGCAGACCCCAACCCACCGAACATTTTTTTTTCTTTTGGGTCACACCCGGTAATACACAGGGGTTACTCCTGGCTCTGCACTCAGGAATTATTCCTGGCGGTGCTCGGAGTATGGAATGCTGGGAATCAAACCTAGGTCGGCCACATGCCAGGAAAAACGCCCTACCTGCTGTGCTATCACTCCAGCCCCCCCACCCCCGGACTGAACTTTTCTGAAGGCAGATGGTTAGAACTGTTTTATTATTTGCCACTGTTACTGTGCCTAATGTTTTAAAATTCGCCACGGGGATGGGAATAGAACAAGATGGCCAAAGAGGGAGCACTCGTGTTCCCCTCTTCGGTGCTGGCAGCTAAGCCACATTCAGCCAGGATGAGGGGCCAGAGAGAGAAGCCCTGCAGCGCTCTGCTTTCAGTGGCAAAAAGTGCTTAGAGTCAGCACACCCAGCACCATCTGACCAAAAGTCAGTGAGCCGCACCCCTATATATAGTACCCCAAGGTTCTCCCAGGGGCAGATGCTGCTCCTGCCAGCACGCTGTCTCCGACTTGGTCCCTTAGGAATAGCCATTGTGGACCCCAAACTCCCCATGGTGCTGAGGCTGAAATCTAGGCCCCTGGCTGACAGAAAGAGCAGATTCATATAAGCAAATTAATAGCCACAAGCTGAGGGAGGGAGGGGAATCTCGGGGAGAGAAGGGTGTGGTATGATGGGAACAAGGTGCCCAAGGTGCCAAGCTAGAACACTGGGTTCTAGCTCAGATGGGAAGGAATGGAGAGGTTTCCAGACGCCTCAAGCACTGTGTCACCGCTAAACTGGACTGCCAAGATTTATGTCAAGGACAAACCATCCCCCATGGAAATAGTGAAATTTTTTGGGGGGGGGGGTCACACCTGGCAATGCTCAGTGGTTACTCCTGGCTCTGCACTCAGGAAATACTTCTGGCGGTGCTTGGGGGACCATATGGGATGTTGGGGATTGAACCTGGGTCAGCCTTGTGCAAGGTAAACACCCTACCCACTGTGCTATCACTTTAGTCCTATAGCAAAGTACTTTTAAAGACATAAAATGTGAGAGGAGAGTACTGGGAATCTGTTTTCAAGTTTCTTTGTTGTTTGTTCTGTTGCATCTCAGGAACTTTAAAATGTAGACACAGTTCAATTTTAAAATTTGCATGTGGTTCTATCCAAATAGATTCTCTGCCAAGATTTCTTATGTAGTCACTTAGCATAGTTGACATCCCGTCAGTAAATGTCGCTCTTGCAGGTGTTTCACTTTCTTCTGCTCATTTCAGCATTTGGCACAAATTAGGCTTCTATTCTGGTTTTTCTCTTTTGTCATGGAGTCCCAGTTCTTCATTTGTCGAATAATGTTGGATTATAGCCCAGAGAACTAACATAAGTCTCTTCTCAGTCTCTAGATTCTATCTTGCTCCTCTGAAAAATGTCCCTTTTCTTTTTAGGTTTTTAACTCAGTTGGGCTCACACAGAGACAGTCGGGGTGGCGCCTGGATTTCTGCCCAATCTGACTCCCTCTTGGGCCACTCTGCAGGTGCACCTGAATTCAGGGGTTGGTTCTTTGTAACCTTAAATTTTGAATTGATCTCAAACTCTTCTAATTTTCAAGGGCCAGGAAGATATCATGATTTCTCCTGGACTTTTAGCCATTTCCCATGACCTGCTTCCAGGCGAGACCCTGTAGCCCAGAGCCCCACTGTACCCCTCTTCCCCTTCCCCACCTCCTGCTCACTGTCAAAACCAGTGTTATAATTCTCACTTTGTACAGTTTATAATTGTCCTTCAAAAGTCCCAATCAGGGGCGCTGAGGTAATGGTGGAGGGCAAGCACGAAACCCTGTCCTGACCAGTATGTAAATCCCGGTGCCTCAAATAAAATTTTTAAAGTGCTGATGCATAATTCATAATAGATGGAGCAGTTTCATGAGGATACAGATTTTACACTAATGCCCAGGACTGCCAGGCTGACCCCTCCCACGTCCCACTTGCTCCCAACCAACCACAATGCATTTCACTAAACATTCCCAGCTAGCTTACTTTGCCCCAGGATATTTCCAGTATTTTGTGGTGGTGCTGGGACTGCAACAAGGGCCTCACACATACAAGGCATGTGCTCGACCACTGAGCCAGACCCTCAGCCCCGCCGTATTTGCTTTTTTCCTGGCTATTTGGGTCACTCCTGGTGGTGCTCAGGGGACCCTGCAGTGCCAGGAATCAAACTGGGGTCAGTTGACACGCTCACTGACCCTAATTTCCCATTTACATTATTCATTTTATATGTAAAAAACAAAGTAAAGTAAAATTAAAATTAATATGTTGAAAAACTGGCTGGAGCACAGGCTTTGCATGCAGTAGGCCTGGGTTCAATAGCTGGTATTACATAGTCCCCTGAACACCACAAATGAGTTTAAAAAAAAAAAGCAGAAATATTTGTAAATTATATATCTGTTAGGCAATTAATAGCATATACAGACAAAGAGTAAAACTCAAGAACAGAGAGAGTGGAAGGGATCCTGTTCCAGGAGCCCAAGTGACAGTCTGAGGAATAAGAGGTTGGTGAGTCGGCAAACGGCCCTCTGGGATGTGCAGTGACGCTGCTGTGGCCGAGCCCCTGAGGCCCTGGAATACCTACCTCTCTCAGTGGCCCACAGCCTCTCCTCGCTCTCCAGGTGGGAGATCAGGTCTGGCTTGGAGGGCAGGGGGCCTGTGGGGAGATGAGATTCACGTGAAAATGTCAAAAAGTGTTGATCCCCCAGTCCAGTGATGGCTTTGCCCTCCTATAACACAGTGCTCAGGAGTCATTCCTGGGGGAGGTGGGAAACCCTGTGGGATGCTGGAGATGGAACCTGGATCGGCTGCATGCAAGGCTTAAACCTGCCCTGGGTCCTATTAAATCACATCAGGAATATGTTGTGCCCACGTGGCAGTTACTGTGACAAGAAAGGACCCACCTCCCCCACATGCATGCTTGCCTCGGCCTTCCCATAGCCTCCTGCCTTCTACTGCAGGCTTACAACACCCAGACTTTACTCAGGCATTAGAAAGGCCGACAGGAGGTGAGGTGGGGGGTGGGTGGGGGGTGCAGACAGTATAATGGGCAGGGTATTTGCCCTGCATGCATCTAACCTGGATATAATCCCAATAATCCCATATGGTCCCTGGACTGCGGTCAGAAGTCAGTCCTGAGCACTGCAAGATGTGGCTCCAAGACCATCACGTATGTAGGAGGGGCTTGGCTGAAGCAGGCAGTATTCAGGGGCTGCTCCTGGCTGCACCCGAGATCTCACCAGAGGTTGCAGGATGCAAGGCAAGGGCCTGAACCCCTCTCCCAGCCCTCACCTTAATGCTATGCTCCAAAACACCCCAGAAGGCTCTGGTCTCTGCAGAATCCCTAGCTCCTGGGCAGAGTCCAGGGACGCTACCAGCACCCCAAAGTGCAGTATCCAGGCCCCTCAATGTGGCCCAGAGCAGGAGGAGGGTTCCAGGCGTCCATCCTGGCTTACCTAGGGACAGCAGGTTCCGGAAGTTCTCCAGCATCACGTCCCGGTACAGTTCCCGCTGGGCAGGCTCCAGCAGTCCTAGCTCCTCCTCCGAGAAGATCACGGCCACGTCCTGGAATGTCACTGCTGCCTGCAACCCCCAAACACAGGGCATCCCAAGCTCACTGCCACAGCCTCTGTGCCACCTCCCCATCCACTGGTACAACAATGGGTGGGGGTCGGGGGGAGGAATCAAAGGAAAAATAAAGCCCCTTGCGTCCTTAAAATGAGGCCCCCTTCTCACACTGCTGTCTTTAACCTACCCTTAAATCACTGCCTGGGGGGGTCTGACAATATGCCCAGCAGGGGAGACCTGTCAGAAAAGTGACCCAGTACCCCATATGCGGGTTCACTCCTCAGCACCCTATATGCTCCATTGAGCCCCGCAGGGAGTGATCTGTGAGCAGAGCCAAGAAGCAGCCCTGGTCTTGGGGCCACAGGTGGGTGTGACCCAAAACACAAAACAAAACCCTCCCCAAAGCCTCTTTATGTTGCTAGAACAGTGATTTTCTTATAGGCTGTCAGAAGCATCTCTGATTCTCCATACTTGGCAGTTATCCCTTTTTTTCGGAGGTGCAGCTCAGGGACCACTCCTGGCAGTGCCTGACTCAGATACTGGCCCAGCCGTGTGGTGTTTCCAGGCCTGGCAGAGCTGGGGTGCCAGACTCCACTCAGAGGATCAACTAGGGTGGATCAGACTCAGGGCCGGGGATAGAATGCGGGTCGGTTACATGCAAGGCAAACACCCTCACCGCTATACTACTGCTCTGGCACCAAGACCTTGATCCTTATGCTGAGACCCGAGGCCCCCGATCCCTCCCACAGCACCTTCTGGTCGGTGTTCCACTCACCCCGAGTGCCCCCGCTGCACTGACCTTCCACACAGTCCAAACTGGGGCTCTTTAGGATATTTCTGACTTGCTCTGTGCACCCAAGCCCCTGCTATTTCTGATCCCAACTCTTCACTTACATGATTGTTCATTTTCATTAAATTATCATCTTAGATGCAAAAAACCCAAACAAAACAAAAATCAACAAAAGGGGTCGCTCATCTGCAATTGTTTGTTCATTGCAGCACTCTTTACAACAGCCAGAATCTGGAAAAAACCTGAGTGCCCGAGAATAGATGACTGGTTAAAGAAACTTTGGTACATTTACACAATGGAGTACTATGTAGCTGTTAGAAAAGATGAAGTTATGAAATTTACATACAAGTGGTACTACATGGAAAGTATCATGTTAAGCGAAATGAGTCAGAAAGAGCGGCATAGACACAGAAGATTGCATTCATCTGGGGAACATAAAGCAACAAAACGGGAGACTAACACCCAGGAATGGCTGAGATTAGTACCAGGAATTTTGCTCCATGACTTCAAGGCCAGCCACATGTGCTAGGTGAAAAGGAAGCTGAGATAGAGAAGAGAGCACCAAATAAAGGGTGTTGTGAAGACCCTCCCAGGGTGGGAGAGACATGCTAAAAGTAGTCTATAGACCAAACATGATTGCTACTCAATGCCTCTCTTGCAAAACACAGTACTCAAAAGAAGAGAGAGAGAACAAGGAGGAATGCCCTGCCACAGCGGTAGGGTGGGACAGGGGGGATGGGGGTTGGGAGGGATGCTAGGACACATGGTGGGGGAGGATGGGCACTGGTGGAGGGATGGGTACTTGATCATTGTATAACTGAAAACCAAGCACAAAAATTTATAAGTCTATAACTGTACCTCATGGTGTTTCACTAATAAAAAAAAGATAAAAAAAAAAAAGGGGTTGCTGAGGTCCCTGTGCTTGGGTCGTGTTGCCTCACTCACGTGCCCCATGCTGCTGGACGCACTCCATGTGGTCACTCAAAAAAAGGGGCCAAAGCCATAGCACAGAGGGTAGGGGACAAAAGTGTTTGCCTTGCAGGAGGCGAATCTTGTTTTGATCTCAGGCACCCCATATAATCCCCCGAACCCTGCCGGGTGTGATTCATGAGCACAGAGCTTCAAGTAAGCCTAGATCACTGCCACGTGTGGTCCAAAACAGAAAAAAAAAAGTGGGAAAGCAGAAAATTGCTACTCTGAAACCATTTATAATGTGGGCACTTTTTACAAACATTAACTCTTACAAATAAATCAACAAAAAAGGAAGAGACTGGTAAGTCGCAATCCCTTGAGTGCCTCTAAGAACTTCTAGCCAAGCTTTTTTTTGCAACTTTGCCCCAGATCATTGCTCCCCCACACCAAGGTTTAGAAGGACCCCTATGGGGTTCTGAAAAGCCTCAAAGCAGACTGGAGGTTTGAGGCCTGGAGGTGGGGGGCGGGATGGTAACGCCTGGGAGGAGTCACCCCTCAGACATGCTCTTGGCTCTGATTAGACTAAAGCGGGCCTTCAGCTCACCTCTGCACTGATGGGCCCCAGAACTGCCCAGGGGACTTTTCCTTGCCCACTAGTTGCCTATCACACACCTGCCATAACGTTTCTCTGCCATGTTCGATAAGCATGATGATTACTGCATGTTCCTCAATCGTGTGCCACCCCCAGCTCATGAATAGGGTGTTTCCTGAAAAGACTAGAATATGTATCAGCTATGGGGCTGGAGCAATAGCACAGCAGGTAGGGCGTTTGCCTTGCACGCGGCCGACCTGGGTTCGATTTCCAGCATCCCATATGGTCCCTGAGCACCGCCAGGGGTAATTTCTGAGTGCAGAGCCAGGAGTAACCTCTGTGCATCGCCAGGTGTGACCCAAAAAGAAAAAAAAATATGTATCAGCTGTGATGTCACCCCATCTCCACTGGGCAGACTCAGACCACAGTTAGGGAGCTAAAGTGCTTTGCCTTGTGATAGTGTGACCTTGGTTTCCCTGGCACTCTATGGGTCCCCTGTGCCCACCAGGAGTGATCCCTGAGCACAGGATCAGGAGTAAGCCATGATGTGGACCCCAAATAAAACCAAACCCCCACCCCAAATGAAAACCAGCTCTCTGCCTCTCTCTCTTTGCAGCTGTTTTCCAGCCCGTTGCTGAGGGCATAATTTCCGATGGAAGTAGTTTTCATGGCAATTTTCCCACTCAGCTGTTCCTGCGATTTCCCTGATGACACCTTTTGCCCTGAGTAGGAGAAAAGCTCATCCACATTTCGGGATCCGAGATGCCATTTCATGAAGTACAGCTTTACAGAACAGAGGATGTAAAACCCATTTTATGAAACATACCTGGAACTTGGTCATTTTTCTCCTCTTCCTCCTGGGGAAGGCGTAGAACTGGGGGAAAGAAGGCATCATCAGGGAGAGAATGGGGGTACGGCTCGTCCACCTGGGGGTGAGGCCTCAGTCCCATGAGCTGCAGCCAGGCTAAGGGGCTTAGTCGGACACAGGCAACGGAGTCCCCAAGAATCCCGGGCTCCCCAGCTGCCTCTGTGCAGGCGCGACCCCATGACAGTCCTAACGTGCCTCTCATTGCCTCTGAGTGCCCCGTACCAGGGGTCGAAGTGGAGCAGTTCAACATTCAAAACGCCCACATTCAAATCCTGGTGATCTGATCCAACCCTGCAAGACAACTTCCCCCCAAGCAGCTCTGGAGGCTCCAGTGGTGAAAATGAATGAAGGCAGATGAGCAGAGGAAAATCAATTTCTGTTTGCTGGGTTGTTTGGGGCTCACCCAGCGATACTCAGAGCTGGCTTTACGCTCAGGGATCACTCCTAGTGGGGCTCGGGGGACCATATGGGATGTGGGGGATCAAAACCCTAGTTGGCTGTGTGCAAGGCAAGCGCCTCACCACCTATAAACTATTGCTCAAGTCCTGGGGGCGTAATTTAAAATTGATTAATTTTAAATCAATCACCTCTAGGAGCCCCCTAAAATAAGGGGGCTCAAGAGGCAGCCAGGACACAGGCTCTCCCCAACAGCCAGAGCTGGGGAAAGGAGATGGTGCCTGTGGATACAAGGAAGCAAAGGCGGCTGAGTGGCGCGGAGCTCCTTAGGGAAGGTCTGTCAGGTAACAGCCTCTTCCAAAAATAGGGCCTTTTTCCGAAGTGGAAGTGTGGAGTTGAGGAGAGGTGACATTTGAAGGGGAGGCGAAGGAGAGACTTCGGACGTGGAGCATTTTGGATAAAAGATTCGATTTTTCTGGCTGCTTCTTCCAGGTACACAGAGAAAAATTCTCCCAAGGGCGAATTTCCTCTAGGTTGTGAACTTCCTTTCCGTTTTTTAGAGCCTTTTCTGCATTCACTGTTTTGTCAAGCCTCAAGCAAGTCCTTAACCTCACTGGACCTCTCTCCATTTGCCTGTAAGCAGTTACAGAGAGCGTGGGTCCCCCCCCCCCATAATTCGCAGTTTCCAGTTCTTAGTAAGTGGGTGCTCCCCAGAAAATGAAAAATCAGGAATCCGGAGGGGGCTGTGCTGTCCCGAGTCACCTGCAGCCTCAGAAATCTAATTCTCGGGGGACGTGCAGGAACTTTAATTGGTAATGCCTGTCCCTCTGTCGGCTCCCAGCAAGTGCTCGAAGTTAGGCCCACAGTCTCTCTCTCTCCCGTGTGACGGCAAACAGGGACAAGGAAACCCGGGGACAGAGCAGCGGGGCTGCATGACATCTGCACCGCGGGGCCTCCCGCACTAGTGGTCACTTGGGAGGCAGTTCTGTGGGCAGGGCGCTCCGGCGCCTCCGCGGCTTCTGCCTGGCACCCGCCTCCGGTCGCCGGTCCCCCCTAATTCAGGGCGGCGAGCAGGCGTGCGGGACGGGGTGCTCGCGGGCGTGCGGGGCCGGGGAGGGGGACTCAAGGTGGGGGGCGGGGGTTTCGCGGGAGTGCGGAGCCGGGGGGGTTGGCGGGCAACGGGGACGGGGCGGAGGCTCGCAGGCATGAGGGACTCGAGGTGTCTTAGGCGTCCGGGTGCAGGGCGTGGGGGATCGCAGGCAACGGGGCCGGGGGTCTCCCGGGCGTGCGGGGCCGGGGTGGGGGTCTCTTAGGCGTGTGGGGCGGGGCGGGTGCGGCCCGGGCTCGCGGGCGCTTCCCTACGGGAATCCGGGGGACACGCAGTCGGTCCGGGTCTGGCCGGCCGTCAGGTAGCGGAGGGCGGGGAAGGCAAGTGACCGCACTGTTCACCGCAAGGCGACGCGGGGCGTGCGGGCAGGTCCGGGGCAGCGCGAGCCCCGCCAACTCCGAGTACGACGCGGGAAGCTCCGCCGAGCGGATGCAAAGCGCCGGGCGCCTCCAGGTCTCCCTCGCCGGGGGAAGCAGCGCCGGGGTTTGCGCTGGCTCCACGCCCAACACGGCATGGCTGAGGAGCCCGAGGGCGCGCGTACAACTCACCTCCCGGCGCGATACCTCGGCGCCGACCTCGTCTTCCCGCGGCGGAAGTGACTTTGAGCACAGTCCGGCTCCGGACTACAACTCCCGACATGCCCGAGCGGAAAGGCCTGCAACTCCACGCGACTTCCGGACTACATTTCCCAGCAGGGAGCGCGCGGACAGGGCGCATCACGGACCGTGGTTTTGACAGCTCTGGGTTTGGTTAATCTGGAGTTCTTGGGTTATTCATGTTTTTTTTTTTTTTAAACCTTTCTTTTTCTTTTGTCATTTTATTTTTTAGAAAGTTGTTCATGCTGATTTGTTACAGGCATTCAATATTCCAATACTAATCCCACCACCATTGCATCTTCCCACATTATTTCCAATTTTCTCAACCGCCCAAGCCTGGAAAAATAACTGACACATTTTAAAGAACGTGGCCGTATCGAAGTGGAAAGCGAAGTTTGCTCTATGACCAGAGTCAAAAAATCAAACCAAACCAAACCAACAAAAAAACCCCACAAGTTTTATGGGAAGCAGAAAGGAAATATAGGAACTGTGAAAGTGTCGTGGGCACTGCTAACACTGAAGGAGTGGTGGATGTCAAAGTGAATGTGGGCTCTCCAAATATTACCAAGAGGTACCATGATCACTTGATTTCCTGTTAATCATCGATTTGCTCGAGCGGGCACCAGTAACGTCTCCATTTGTCCCTGTCACGTGCTAGTGTAGCCCAATGGCATCTCTTCGCTCTAGGAACATGAAGAGCCGATCACTCATGACCTTGATGAAGAAGTCTGACCATCTGGTAGGTGGGTGGCCACGCCATCTTTTGACATCCCATGGAATCCAGTCGGTAACAGCTCTAGTCAAGTGGTCATCTCTAAATCTCATTATGTGATCAGCCTGATTTTTGACACCTTGGCAAACGAGACAGCGTCCCTGATTCTTGATTGTGGACGGAGGTCGAAACTTCGGATTCTTTTTCTCATTTGAGTGAAACGTGATACTCCAAGCATAGCTCTTTTAATTCCTCTTTGGGAGACCCGAATAGCATTCTCATCCTGTTTGCGTAGGGCCCAGGTCTCTGAGGCATATGTTAATGCAGGAAGAACAGTGGAATCAAAGAGATGTGCCTGGAGCCGGAGGTTCTTCGTCCTCTTAGCTATTTCTTCAATGCTCTTGAAGGCGTTCCAAGCCGCTCTCTTCCTCCTGTGCAGCTTGGGTGCCAGGTCATTTGTCATGTTGACTTTTCGACCTAGGTACACATAACCGTTGCATTCGGAGATGGTCGTACCATTGAGAGCGAATGGAGCGTCAGGAACGAGACTGTTTTTCATAAACATTGTCTTCGTAAGATTCAGCTGTAGTCTGACCTTTCCACACTCACGGTTGAAGTCCGCCAGCATTTGTGCCGCTTGGCTGATGTTTGGTGTTATTAAAACAATGTCATCAGCAAAGCGGAGGTGGTGTAGTTGCCGACCATCTATCTTCACTCCCATTCCTTCCCATTCCAGTTGTCACATGATGTTCTCGAGTGTGGCACTGAAGAGTTTTGGTGAAATGGTATCACCCTGCCGAACCCCTCTCTTGACATCAATGATTACTTCTTTATAGAATGGTGAGGTCCTGGTAGTGAATCCGTAATACAGCTCACTGAGGATCCTGATATATTGAGTTTGAACGCCCTGATTGGCTAGGGCTTCTATAACCGCTTCCGTCTCAAAAAAATCAAAGGCCTTCTTTAAATCAATGAACGTTAAACAGAGCGGCATCTTGAACTCCCGAGAAACCTCAATGAGCTTGGTTATCATGTGGATATGGTCGATGGTGCTGAATCCTTTGCAGAACCCGGCTAGCTCACATGGTTGTCCTTCATCTAGTGTTCTGCCAATTCTATTCAGGATGACTTGAGTGAACAACTTGTTAATAGATGACAGACAATAGGCAGATCGGGCAATAGTTGCCAATGTCATGGATGTCTCCCTTCTTGTACAGTAGTACAGTCCTGCTGGTTTTCCATTGGGACGGAACCTTGCATTCAGACAGGTAGCGTGTGAAGAGCCGAGCCAGGTATTGATGAGTATTGACGGCAGGTTCTTCAGGTGTTCGGGTCTGACCTTGTCTGAGCCGGGTGCTGTTCGTTTCTTTACTGACGAAATGGCGTGTCAGATTTCGGAAGGGAGAACATTGGGAACGACATATCCATCCTGTGGAATTTGGTATGTTGGCAGGTGGACATGGCTATCGAAGAGATCTGAGTAGAAGTCATGGATAATCTTCTCCATGACCTTTCTGGAAGATTTGATAGATCCATCAGGACATCGGAGGGCAGTCATGTTGGTCTTGTAGTTGGCGAAGGACAGGTGGGTGTTACGAATACTTTTCCCGGCTTCTGCCGCATCTACCAGCACTTCTGCTCTTCTCTCTTTGAGGTCTTCCTTGATCACATCTCTGCACTGCTTTGCGAGCTCGAACGTTCGCTTGCAGTTGTCTGAGGTATGCGCCAAACCACGTTGATGAATAAGCTCAAGAGTTTTCGAAGACAGACTTTTTTTTTTTTGTGGCTATCTCTCTCTTGGCGTTCCTCGCACATTCATGGAGGTGTTGAACCAGTTGATTGTATTCCTCATCAATGTTGTCAACAATGGCATCTTCCCATGTTGCAGTAATAGTGCCAAAGAGCTCCCAGTTGGTGGTCGTTCTGGGAGTTCTCTTCTTAAACTTTGCAGCCCTTTCTCCCCGCTCTGTGAAGTAGAATTTTGCATGAAGGAGATGGTGGTCCGATTCCTTTTGGAATTTTGGGACAACAGCCACATCGGTCAGGCAAAACTGTCGATTGAATATGATGTGGTCTATTTCATTGTGGAATCGTCCACCGGAGACTCCCATGTCCAACGTTTAGATTCGGCCTTCTGGAATCTTGAGTTACCATGGATGGTCTTGGTCAACATGATGAACTCAGACAGTCTCTCACCCTGTTCGTTCCATTCTAGGCCATGGGTCCCGATGTGAAATTCTTCGGCTGATCTTCTCGGTCCTATCTTGGCATTAAAATCACCCACAATGATCTTGTAGAAGGCGTGTTCTTCTTTACAGAACTTCTCCAGCTCCATGTAGAACTTCTCAACTTCTCCTTCATCATAATTGGATGTTGGTGCGTAGACAACGAAGATAGAAACTGCCGGCAGTGAGCCACATCTATTCAAATGTAAACATCCAATTCGGGTTGTTAGGCATTCAAATGAATCAATGCTCATGGCCAAGTTCGTGTTGAGAAGGACACCGATGCCTACAACACCTCTTTTATTGCATGTTCCGAGGAATAATTCTTCTCCAGTGTCGAAAATGGCATGATGAGATTGGTGTCTTCTTGTCTCGGTCAGACAAATGATGTCGTACTTGATCTTTCGCGCTTGTACCATCAGGTCCTCGATGGATACATCTGATGCTAGTGTATGTGCATTGAAAGTACAGATGATCATTTTTGTCTTCCTTTATTGTGGCAGCCTAGTTCAGCCTTGAGATTTTATCGGCCTCTCCTTTCTCATCCTCAATGCTGCCATATTGGTGATGCCTTCAGGGTCAGGGGAATGAGACCCGTTGTAATTAATGTTTTTGGCATATCGAATACACAACGGATAGCTTGCAAGGCCCTGCCGTGTGCGTGGAATACTCTCGGTATCTTGCCAGGCTTTCTGAGAGGGATAGAGGCTTTTGGGGAGGCCTCTAATCGCCCTTGTAGGTGTAACCATATTTGAACCCCATCAAATATGGTACGGCAGTTCTGGGAGATGGGAATTTAGTGTCTTATAATGTGGGTTCAAATATGGTTTGAACCATGGTAACACCTACAAGGGCGATTAGAGGCCACCCTAAAAGCCTCTATCCCTCTTGGAAAGCCTGGCAAGCTACGGAGAGTATTCCGCCCGCAAGGCAGAGCCTCGTAAGCTATCCATTGTGTATTCAATATGCCAAAACCAGTAATTACAATGGGTCTTATTCCCCTAACCCTGAAGATGTCACCAATATGGCAGCATTGAGAAGGAGGAACCATGGATAAGACAAAAATTACGTTTTGCTCATGGTGCTAAGGGAGGATATTATCTGAACAGAATGGGGTGACTTTGATTGGACAATGGTTTTCATTTGAGGAGCTGATAATGTTCTAGAATTGAGGACAGAGTTGATGCACAACTCACTAACCATATTAGCATCCAGTGAATTATAGTTTGGGAAGGGGATGTCCAGGCGATACTGAGTTATTCAGAGGTTACTCCTGGAAGTCCTGGGGACAAGATATGGTGTGTGTATGTGTGTGTGTGTGGGGTGAAACCTGTGTGTTCAGCAAGCCCTTGAATTCCCAGTGCTATTTTTCCAGTTTCAGGGCTGACAGATCCAGAAACCTGAATGTGTACTTTCAATGTGCAGCTCTGGGAAATCTAGCATCTACCCCTCCAGAAATCAAGATGTGGAATTCTTCCCTCACTCAAAACAGTATCTTATCACTCCCATGTCCTCTTTCCAGGGAAACACTGATTTGTGCCCTGTCCTTGTATTCTTACCTGTTCCAGAATGTCATAGAAATGGAATCACAGAGGTTGCCTTGTGAGTCTGGCTTCTCTCCTTTCACCGAGTGCATCTGGGATGCCGCTACTTTGTAGTTTCTTCTTTGGCTGAGCAACATTCCAGGTGTGGAGAGAAGAGTTTGTTTCCCATTCCCCAGCTGAAGGACATGTGGGTGGGCCTGAGATTTTTCAGTCATAATAATGTCATGAAAAACTCTCACCTTTGCCTGAGCCTCTTTCCATGGGGTGCTGTACTGTATGCTGTGTAACCACTTTGTAATCACTACACAGTGTTTCAAAGTGCTCTGCATTGCTATAGCAGTGCCTAAGAACTTGAGTGGCTGTGTGACCTTTCTAGATTTGGTATTGTCCAGTTTTTCTCTCCTTCTTTGGTTTTGGGGCCACACCCTGCAGTGCTTGGGAATTACTCCTGGCTCTGTGCTCAGGGATTGCTCTTAATCCTGTGTTTAGGAGACTATGAGGTGTTAGACATTGAACCTAGCCTCCAGCAAGCAAAACCTGCATCTAGCCCACCGAGTTCTCCGTCCCATTATCCAGTTTTTTATTTGAGGCCTTTCCATAGGTGTATGGTTCCGGGGCCATCAGACAGTGCTTGCAGGGAAGGAAATAAAGAAACACATTCAAATCCTAGGATTTCTGGGGCCAGAGAGATAGTTCAGCGGGGCACCCTGAAGTCTGCTGGGAAGAAAGGATTAAACAAGGTTGAATGGGAAGAAAACAGGAAGCAGATGTCAGGAAAGCACTGAGGCAGGTTCCTGTGACACTCTTTTCTGCTCTTTCCCCCAGAAGAAACAATCACCTGATATAAGGCCACAACAAAGATGTTTGTCCTGATAGAACCAGGAACTTGGATTTGTAAAAATTTTGCCCAGACAGAAGAGTTAGACAATTAATCAAGGAATGTTGTTCTCCTTCTTCTAATGATCCTGGTTCCAAGCAATAAATATTGAACTGGAAGGACAGTTGGGCTCTTAGTCCACAAAGCTGCTAACTCCCTGGCCCTGCACTGTTTCTCTTATTTCTGTCTTTTTCTTAATTCTCCTTGATGCCTCTGCTGTGGTTCTATTCACTGAGACCAGTTCCTGGTTTGATCCCCGTCATACCATATAGTCCTCTGAGCACTGCCAGGAGTGATCCCTGAGAACAGAGTCAGGACTAACTCCTGAGCATTGCTGGGTGTGACCCAAAAAGCCAAAAAAAAAAAAAAATAGAAGCAGCAACAGAAATAGTCAGATCCAAAGGACTGTGATGGAAACACAGAGACCAAAAATGCAAGTATTGTATTTTGGACATTTATTTAAGAAAGAATTTCATTAGTTACCACTTCTGACACTTCCCAATTATTCAAAAACTCTACCGTAGCACATAAGTGGCAGTGAAAACTCAATGAATTGAAATGCAGTGTCCCAGTTTTGAAAAGACCACTGCAAACACTGATCAGCTAGTACTGTCAGTAAAAGAAGTATGGGAACTTAAGCACACGTGTACACACACACACACACACACACAGCCTGAACAGTGAGAAATACAGCACCTCCCTGCTTAGGATGGAACGAAGGATGGGTACCAGTTCCCCCAAAAAGATGATAGCCAAACTTAAGTCAGTTCAGATCACAATACTGCTTGACGGTTGATGTTTCAAAATAATACTTATTCACTTCAAGTGCTTCTATGAAGGTCACACGCAACATCCCTTTTCCAAATCCATTCTTGAAAGGCTTTCTGGAATAGACTTAAAACTTTCAAAAATGGTCTTGGCACATGGCCCATTAGCCAAAGTTCTGAGCCCCTGAGCCCCTACACTTAGCGGTACAGCATCTTGGTTTTGTCAATTTAGCAATGAAGGAAGTCCCTAGTTCTAATGGACACTGCGGGGCGAGGACACCACTGCAGTTTTGTTAAGTCCCTGGCCATACTCTTATCTTGTATGAGCCCCAGTGCAATGAGTAAAGGGAAGTTACATTCTGACAAAATCCATTCTGGAATCCCCCTCAAGAACCTGATGATCAGAGAAGTTCCAGTCACGCAGGAAAACATGCCGCTTCCTATTGTAAAATGATTTTCTAGCAGGGCAATGCTGGTGAAGGAACGCTTCCAGCTCCTCCTCGTGGACACAAGCATGCCATTCTCACGGAACCCTGTTTCTGTACGGGTCCTTGGATGATGGGTCGTCTGCGCTGTACCTTTCGTTTTGATAGAATTTCTCTCCGCTGTGGACCCGCTGATGAATGAGGAGGCCCGAGCTCCAGCGGAAGCCCTTCCCACAGGCATCACATTTATATGGTTTCTCTCCCGTGTGCACCCTCTGGTGGGCCTGAAGGTTGGACCGCTGACTGAAGCCCTTCCCACACACCTCGCATTTGTATGGTCTCTCACCCGTGTGGACCCTGTGGTGGGCCTGCAGGCTCGAGAACCCACTGAAGCCTTTGCCACACTGTTGGCACTTGTAGGGCCTCCCTTCGGCATGGACCCGCTGGTGGGCCTGGAGGCGGGAGCTCTCGCTGAAGCCCTTCGGGCACACCTGGCACTTGTAGGGCTTCCCTCCTGTGTGCACCCGCCGGTGGGCTTCCAGGCGCGAGCCCTGACTAAAACCCTTCCCGCACGCCTCACACTTGTAGGGCTTCATGCGCGTGTGGACCCTCTGGTGGCCTTGCAGGTAGGCCCGCTGGCTGAAGCCCTTGCCGCACACCTCACAGATGTGAGGCCGCTCCCCGGTGTGCACGCTCTGGTGACTCTGCAGGTAGGCTCGTTGGCTGAAGCTCTTGCCACACTCACTGCAGTGGTACGGCTTCTCTCCCGTGTGAACTCTCTGGTGGGCCAGGAGCGTTGAGGCCTTGCTGAAGCCCTTCTCGCACTGCCCACACTTGTAGGGTTTCTCTCCAGTGTGGACCCTCTGGTGGATCTGAAGGTTAAAGCTCCAGCTGAAGCCCTTGCCACATGCCTGGCACTTGAACGGCTTTTCGCCAGTGTGGACGCGCTGGTGGCCCTGGAGGTGGGAACTCCGGCTGAAGCCCTTGCCGCATGCCTGGCACTTGTAGGGTTTCTCACCCGTGTGCACACGCTGGTGGCCCTGGAGGTAGGCATGGCGGCTGAAGCCCTTCCCACACTCCTCACACTTGAAGGGTTTTTCGCCGGTGTGAATCCTCTGATGCGCCTGGAGGTATGAGCTCCGGCTGAACTCCTTGTCGCATGCCTGACATTTGTAAGGTTTTTCGCCCGTGTGGACCCGCTGGTGCACGTTCAAAACGGACCTGTGACTGAAGCCTTTCCCACACAGTCTGCATGCGTGGGGCTTCTCCCCACCTGGGACTCTCTTGTGATCCTTCGGCTTTGAACCCCAACTGAGGCCATTCCCACACTCCTTGTACAGCTTCTCTGCGGAGCACATTTTAGGATGGCCTGGGAGGTGGGAATCCTGGCTGGCACTGTTCGGATATGCGTGGTGTCTACATGGCTGTTCCCTACTGTGGACACGGTGAAGGTCCGGTAAGGGCGGAGGGAGACAGAAGCCACGGATGCCCTCCTCAGAGTCACGGGGAATCTGTTCCATCTCAACTCTCTGCTGTGGGCTGAGATGCAAGCCACGGATAGGACCCTTTCCACATCCTGCCTCCGTGGGGCGTTTCTCTTCTGAGAGTGTCTTCTGATGGGCAAGAGAACGTGAACTCTGACTAAAGACATTCCCAGTCTCTGTGAACTCGTGGGGCTCCTCCCTAGGGTGGACCCTCCACAGACTGCTGTGGTCTAAGCCGCGACTGAGGGCTTTCTCATACATGCTGCATCCGTGGGCCGTTTCTCCTGTGTGAATAAGTCCGTACATCTGCTGACAGGGGCACTGTCTGAAGTTGTGGCTGGAGATACCTTTGCAGGGCTTCTCCTCTGTCAGCGCCCACCGATGGAACTGCTGGCACGAGCGCGCAAGACCACAATCCTCGTTTCTAAGAATATGGAAACATGAAGTGTGACTACAGGCCCCTCCACAGAGGCCAGACAGATGGGGCTTCCCTTCAACATATGACTGCCGGTGGTGAGTGGCAGAGCTGGCTTTGTCACAGAGGGACCTTCTGTCCTCATTACCTGGAGTGGCCTTCTGGGCTGTGCAAACTGAGTCTTGAGGAAGCATAGACCCCCTCTTGGTGTCTTCCCCATGGTCATGGCAGCTGCAGTTTTTTTCTGTTCCCTGTATCTCTGGGTTGTGATGATGAGGTGACATAGAACTGATGCTGTGTAAGTTATTTTTCATGGTGCTGTGCTGACACTGACTGTTATGCAGCTTGGTCAAATACATTTTCTTCCAGAGCTGCTGGCCTGTCCTGGGTGGAGATTCCTGATCTTTAATGTGACTGGCATCCTTCTCTCTCTGGCTCGGCTCATAGTTCCCACCTTTGGAACTTGGGTTGGGTTTTTCTGTCCAATCCTGGCAGGAGGCATCACCTTGTTTTTGCAGCTGAGAAATAATCCCTTGAAACTTTTTCAGGGATGCCAGACATCGGGGAAACCTCACTGCACCATGTGGGCAGGTATGCCGGGAGGAAAGTTCCTTGTGGGGAAAGCAGCTCAATTCCACTTTTTGAATGTTCAGCTTATTATGTTGGTTCTTGGTATCTACGGAATAAAGAGAATTTAGATAGATGTATACATGCATGCTTTTGTTCAGCTATTATAAAATTTCTGCACTGAGATGACTATATGAAATCCCAATGAGACAGGAAGTTTAACTTTAATACTGAATAAATGGCTCTTGAAGCAGACAGATGGCTGAAAGCACCGAGCGTGTGCTTTGTATGCACAAGGTGCAAATTCAACTCCTGGTACCACATTGCCCTCTGAGCACTGCTGGTAATGACACCCAAGCACAAAGTCAGGGGCAGCCCCTGAGCACTGCAGGTGTGACCCAAACCCCCTACTCTCTCCAGTCGCCCTCTCTCAAAAAAAATTTTTTTTAACAAAAGGCTTCTTTTGGCTATACCTGGAATGTAAGTGAAATCTACTTAGTTTTGGCTACTGATATTCTTCAAAGTCGTGGTTTTCAACAGTCTGGACATGGCTGTCCTATTTAATCAAACTATCCATATGATAGCACTGGTTTACCATGGGCTTTTGTTTTCTTCCAAGAAGAAAACAAAAAGGAAGGGGCCACAGTGATAGTACAGGAATCAGGAATGATTCCTGAGTGCAGAGCCAGGGATAACCCCTGAGCATTGCCAGGTGTGGATCTCCTCAAAAAAAAAATACAGAAAGGAATAGACTCAGATTGGAAATAATACCGTTTAAAGGGGACGGATATTTGTTGTCCTGATAATTTCTTTATTCGTACTCTGGTTGTGGCATGGTAGTGTTTGTTTCTTTATAAGATTCTGTGTTAAACCCTGTGACGGAAAGTAGAAAATGATCTGTATGTTTACTTTATGCTGAAGGCATCCTATGATGCTTCGCTAATGAGCTGATTATCTTCATGTCCAGACTTTCCCAAAGTGGGCATCAACACCCCAGGGGGGGGGGGGGGTTGAGTGCTAAAATGACACAGGAACAGGAGTGGGAGGAGCGCTGAGTATAATATCTCAATTTTAATTCTATTTTACTACAAATAGTAGTACACTGATGAGAACAGTGTCAAACCCAATATACAAACGAACCTAATTTCCAGAAGAAACGATGTACTGCAAGAGTTCCATCATCTTTTTTTTTTCTTTTTGGGTCACACCTGGTATTGCACAGGGGTTACTCCTGGATCATGCACTCAGAAATTACTCCTGGTGGTGCTTGGAGGACCATAGGGGATGCTGGGAATTGAACCTGGGTTGGCCGCGTGCAAAGCAAACACCCTACCTGCTGTGTTATCGCTCCAGCCTCTAAACTCATCTTTTGATGAGAGTTGGGTGAGAACTGATTACATCTTCTTAGTAATCCTGCTTCAGAGTTTAAGAAAATGAATCAGTCCAGCCTCCTAGAGCAACCAACTCAGTATCGATGATGCTACTGTTGTTGTAAATACTAAATTATTTCCTTTTAAATTCTAGTTAAGAGGCTGGAGTGATAGCACAGCGGGTAGGGCATTTGCCTTGCATGCAGCCGACCTGGGTTCGATTCCCAGTATCCCATATGGTCCCCTGAGCACCGCTAGGAGTAATTCCTGAGTGAAGAGCCAGGAGTAACCCCTGAGCATCGCTGGTTATGACCCAAAAAGCAAAAAAAAAAAGAAAGCTCAAATGTCTAGTTAGCCCTATGAATTGAGAGAAATACATTTTAATTGTCTTCTTCCTTAGTAGAAGCCATTCAGGCAAATAAACTCAGGCAACCTTGACGATTTCCTTTACATTCTATTTTTGTTTGGGTGGGGGGTGGGGGGGGGCGCAGCACACCTGGCAATGTTCAGGGGTTACTCCTGGCTCTGCACATAAGAATTACTCCTGGCAAATGCCAGGGATCGAACCTGGACTGGACAAGGCAAATGCCCTCCCCACTGTACTATTGCTCCAGCCCCTTCATTTACATTCTTGGAATGACTTTAGTTAGCAAGAGAAACACAAGCATTTTGTGGGCAGCAGAAGAGAGAATAACAGCATTTTGAGTGCAGACCATTATGTATACTGCTGTACTAGCTACTCTCATCAGCCCATCCGAAGCTTAGCTGTCCTTAACTGAGGACATTTAACCCTCAGAGGATTCCTGGGATCATCACTTTTTTTTTCCTTCTCATACCTGGCGATGCTCGGAGTTTACTCTTGGCTCTGCACTCAGGAATTACTCCTGCTAGGGCTCAGGGGACCATATGGATGCCAGGGATCGTACCCAGGTTAGCTGTGTGCAAGGCAAACACCCACCCTGCTGTACTGTCACTCTGGATCTGAATCTCCCCTTTTTTTTTTCTTTTTCGGTCACATCTGGTGATGCTCAGGGGTTACTCCTGACTCTGCACTCAGGAATCACACCTGGCGGTGCTCGGGGGACCATATGGGATGCTGGGAATCGAACCCAGGCCAGCCGTGTGCAAGGCAAACGACCTGCCCACTGTGCTATTGCTCTAACCCTGAATCTCTACTTCCTTTCCCTACCACTGAATGAGCTCAATCTCCCTGTTTTAGAAGTTTATTTGTCACTGCTTTGATTTATTTCATAGATGCTTATTCAGACTACTTCTGCAAGTTTTGGAAAAATGTTTCTGTCAAAGAATTGGCCCATTTCATCCAGATTCACTTTTTCCCCTTTATAATACCTATAGGTTCTGTAGTGACGTCTTTGATTTCACTTGTTGCTGTTTTGGTTGTGTTTTGATTTTTGTTTTGGGATTTTTGGACCCACCTATCTCTGAACTCAGAAAACAGTTTTGGAGATGGTCAGGAGACTCTGTGATGTCAGAGATTGAACTCAGGTTGGCCAAATGCAAGGCAAGTGCTTTAACGCTATTATCACCTGGCCCCAATGTTAGTAATTTATGTTTCTTCTCTCTTTCTCTCTCCCTCCCAGTTGTTAGTCTGGCTAAATGTTTATCGATTTTATTGACACTGTCAGAGAATCAGTTTTGCTTCATTTCTTTTTCCTCTTTGAGTTTCTCTCTGAATTTTGCTGATTCTGCTCTAATTGTTTCTTTTCCTCTACTTTGGATTTGACTAAAAATATTTTTTAGTTACTCTTGCAATTTCTTCATCAATCCAAGTGTTAAGTGTACTGTTTAACACCCACATATTCTGGTTTCCAGCTTAATTCCATTGTGCTTTGAGGACCGACAACAGTATGACTCCTAAGGATCTGTTAAGGCATCATGACCCAGAATGTTCCATGTGAGTTTGGGAAGAGTTCTGCCTATCTAACGTGCTAAATTAACAATAGCTCTGGTCTCCAATTCCATGTCAGAAAGTGGTCATTTTTGCAGTGTGTGTGTGTGTGTGTGTGTGTGTGTGTGTGTGTGCATGTGTTTTGGGTTGTGCCATGGTCCAGCAGTGCTCAGGAGTGACCCCTGGTGGTGCTCAGAGAATCCTATGTGATACTAGGGATCAAACCCAAGTCAGTTGCATGCAAGGCAAATGCCTTACTCACCATCGACCTCTCCAGATCCTCTTCCAGAACGTTAGCTTTCACGGGGAATGAAAGAGGATCTAACAGTGTTTAGACAGGGCGACACTTGCTTTTTTCTTTGCTTGTTTGGCAGGGCTGGGGATCAAACTCAGATCTCATACATGCAGACGTCATGACCACTGCGTCCTGTTTCTGCCCAGAGGCCCTCTGACTCGCATCTCACCTGAACAAGCTTCCCATGGGGCTTCTATCTCCACCATGGACAGCTCCTCCTCTTGCTCCAGCTGGACTATCAGCTTTGGTTTGAAGGGCGGGAATCCTGTCAGCAGCCAAAGAGAACAAAAGCTCAATGGTCTGTATTGTTTTGGGGGTGAGTCACACCTGGTGATGCTCAGGGCTTCCTTCTGGCTCTGTGGTCAGGGATTATGCTTGGTGGGGCTTGGGGGACCATGGGGTGCCAGGGACTGAACCTGAGTCTGCCGTGTGCAAGGCAAGCACCCTGCCTGTTATACTATTTCTCTAACCTCAAAAATGCTAAGTAACATCCAATGCGTCATTGTTCTACTTGGTGCAAGTTTTCTGGGGTCATACCTTTGACCATCTCAAGGTCATGTAGCGTTTCTCTAGTTCCTTCTAGAAGTTTCATGCTTTTACATCTGACATTAGTCCCATTCATTCAGCAGTCATCTCTTGGTGAGGAGAGGGGGTATGTACAGAGCTCTAGACAGATGCTCAAATGTTCCTGCACCACTAGCTGAAATCAGGTGTCTGGATATCTGCCGGAATCACCTACACGAGTCCCAAACTGCTTCCTACACACAGCATAGAAAGCAAACACACTGATGAGGGTTCAGTGGTGTGATTTACTCTCCATGGTGAGCCCATTTTCAGTGCCTGGGATAGACTTTTGTCTGCACAGTCACACCAGAAATATTCTGTCTGTGCTCTGCAGAAATTAGTGACATGAAAATTACTCTATGAGGCTGGTGAGCTTGTACAGCAAGGAGGGCGCTTGACTTGCATGCTGCTGACCTAGATTTGATCAGGCATCCCAGATGGAACCCCAAGCACCCCCAGGAATGATCCCTGAATGTAGAACTGGGAGTAAGCCCTGAACATCGCTGGGTGTGACCCCAAACAAAATAAAAACAAATTACTCTATTATTATTATATACCAAAGCTCAGAGAATCACATCTGGGCTCCCAGAACTTAAAAACAACCAAGAACACAGACACTGCGGAGTGCCTGAGTGTCAGTGAGTTTCACGGGGTGCCCGGGCTCACCCAGGGACAGCAGATTCCGGAAGTTCTCCAGCATCACGTCCCGGTACAGCTTCCACTGGGCGGGCCCCAGCAGCCCCAGCTCCTCCTCTGAGAAGACCATGGCCACATCCTGGAATGTCACTGCCTCCTGCAATTTCAAAGATAGGTTTATGTTTACCAAGGAGAAAGCCAGGACTGGGGTTGGGCTGGTGGGGAGTGGCTCTGGGTGCAGAGGGACCTGGACCGAGTTTCAGTATCCTCTCCTATTTGTCTTCCACACTGTTACTTTCAACCACTGTAGGTGAAAAACAAACAAAAAACCAAAACGCCTTCACTGCCTTATTTTCTTAATTTTAGTTATCTATTAGTGGTACTAAGGCTTGAGTCCAGGGCTTCACACATGCAATGCATACACTGTACTGCTAAGCCACATCCCTCATCCTGAAGACTCTGCACTTTCATATTCCTGCTTTGGGCTGGGGAGAAAGCTCAGAGGAGCTGGGGTACAGGCCTGAACTGGATCCTGGTGCCACATAGTTGCTCAAGTACCACCAGGATGATCTTGAGCACTGATCCAGGAGTACCCCTGAGCACTGCCAGTGAGTACCCACCAGTACAGCCATTTATGATCCAAAAACTAAATACCAGTGCTGCTGGGTGTGATGCCTAAACCAAAACTACAGAAATATGGCACCACCCCCATTAGCTCTCCTGTAGGCAAGTCCCTAGGACTCTACTGCAACACTGCCATTTAATTAACTTATCTGGGGTTCTGGAGGGGACACACCAAACAGCGCTCAGAGCTGCCTCCTGGCTCTGTGCTCAAGGGACTATATGTGGTGTCAGAGATCAAATTGAGGTTAGCTGTGTACAAGACAAGCTCCTTAACCTTTGTACTATCTCTCTGGTCCTGCCCCTCATAGTTCAACATCATGTTCATAATCCCATTTGTCCCAAAAGAGTTTTAGTATCAGAGCTGGAGTGATAGTACAGTGGGGAGGGCATTTGCCTTGCATGCAGCCGACCCGGGTTCAATTCCAAGCCTCCCATATAGTCCCTTGAGCACTGCCACAGGTAATTCCTGAGTGTAGAGTCTGGAATACCCCCTGAGCATTGCCAGGTATGCCCCCACTTCCCCCAAAAATAGTCCCTAAATTGAGTACTACAGCAATAGTTTTAATGCATGTAAAAGTGGGTTTGGGGCCTGAGAGCTTGGTAGATTGAGCTCAGGCTTTGCATGGAAGAGGCACAGGTTCCATCCCTGGCACTACATGGTTCCTGAGCACCCCTGAGAGCAACTCCCCAAAGCACAAAGCCTGAACACCACCAGGTGTGTCCCTCGCAACACACCCCAAAGAGTGACTCTGGAAAGAAGGTCATTTTTTTTTTTTTTGTGGTGATTGAGGGATTGTTTTTTGATTTCTGGGTTAAACCTGATGGTGCTCAGGGCTGACTCCTGGTTCTGCACTAGGGATCACTCCTGGAGGGGTTTGAGGGGACAATATGGGGTGCCAGGGATTGAACCCAGGTTGGCAGCATGCAAAACAAACACCCTCCCCACTATACTATCATTAAATGAATTCATTTATCAATAAAGTTATATATCAAAAGAGTATGTTTTATACCATTGCTTAGGAACTAAGAGAAGAAAAATACAAACACTGAAAGTACTTTTTTTTTTGGGGGGGGGTGACACCCAGCTATGCTCAGGGGTTACTCCTGGCTCTTCACTCACAAATTACTCCTGGCGGTGCTGGGGACCATATGGGATGCCAGAGATTGAACCTGGGTCGGCTGCGTGCAAGGCAAACGCCCTACCTGCTGTGCTATCGTTCTGGCCTCCAAAAGTGCATTTTTCATTCTATTTGTTTGAGTGCCACACCTGGCAGTACTCAGGGGTCACAGTGGGACGCTGGGGATGAAATCCAGGTCAGCCGTATGTAAGTGCCTTCCTTGCTGTCCTATCGCTGTGGCCCCTGAGAGCACATTTTTGAAAGGTCACTGAAGAGCCAGTGTCCTCCCCAGCCCTGGCAATGTCCTGGGCACTGACAGAGACACAAAACTGCCTGTTCATGGGCAGAATCAAAGTCCTGCTTACCTGAAACTTGATCATTGTCGCTCCCCACGCTCCTGGGAAAGCAGAGACCTGGGAAGGGAGAATAAGGTGGTGAGGAAGGGCCAGGGGAGTCCCGGAGGTGCGTCTTTTTGGGGGTCAGGGTCTGCTGCCCACACCTCAGCAGCACAGCAGGGCTAGACGCCAGCAACCTGGGCGCCACGGTGTCCCTGGCCGTTCCAACCCAGTTCCCAGCTGGTGGGCGCTGATCCAAACCCTAGAAACAGGGCCAAGGAAAGGCAGCAGAGTGGACCGGTCACAAAAGGGCTGTGAATGTAGAGCAATGGAGACTCCATCAAAAGGAAGAATACAACTCCCCAGCCACCCAGTCATATGGTTTCTCAGTGTCTCTCATTCCCCCATCCCCCATGCTGCCCCTCCCCTCCAAAAAAAAAACCCCATTTAATTCAATGGGATCCATTCACCCACAGTCAGGGCTGCGCTGAGTATAATAACCAAGACAGGAAAATAACCAGGCAGTTCCCTTGAGCCTCCCCCTCCTGCTTTTATTTATTTTTTTTGAGGGGGGTTGGGCCACACTTGTTGGTGCTCAGGGCTTACTCCTGGCTTAGTGCTTAGGGGCACACACGACAGAGCTGGGGCAGAGCTGGGAGGGCACCCAATGGGATCGGTGCTGGGGATGGATGGAACTGGGGTTGGCCAGGCGTCTTGACCCTGTAAACTATAGTTCAGACCCCTCCCCTTCATGATTGTTCCCTGAACACAGACTTGTGAGGTCGTCTCTTTGTGTCACTGCTCTGGCTAGTGCTTTCTCTTGAACATGTACCACCGGTTGTGGCCCCAAATCAAAACAACAAAAAAAATTATGGCATGGAAGTGAAGGATAGCAGGAGCCCCGGCTTGCAGGGGGCAGGGGCACTTTGTGCCCAGCGCTGATCCCATCCGCGACTCCCAGGAGCTGTCGGGGAACTGTTCGCTTGGCTTTCAGAGGAGGCAAAGGCCCCTCGTGCCCGGCGCTGGAGACTCCCGCACATGCACCTTCTCAGCGGACCCTCCAAGGGATCAGAGACGGATGCTACGCGAAACAGAGCAGCAGCGGCTGAGCCCCCAGCCGACCGCAAGCAGGACCCCAGCAGCGCGCAGGCTGGTGGCGGGGCAGGGCTGGGGGGGGGGGGGCAGACCCAGGACCCCTCCCCCCAGCCGCGGGGAGGGGGCCGTGTACTCCCAGAAGCTCATTCAAAGGGTATGCGACCCTCGCCCGAGCTCGAGGGCCTGGGCTCGGCGCCCACGGCACAGCGAGGACCGCCAGGCGTGAACGCGGACAGCGGACCGGGTAGGGGAGGGCTCACCTTTCCAAGAGGCGTGAAGGCCGTGGCCTCGTGTCCCTGAACGGAAGTGCCGGCCCACGGAGACCGTCTGGACTACAATTCCCAGAATTCCAGGCGGGAGTGGGGGGGGCGTAGCCTCACGCCCCGAAGCGAAAGTTATCGCACGACTGTGTGCCCGAACTACATTTCCCAGAATTCCCGGTGGAGCGGGAGGGCGTGGCCTCACGTTTAGAAGCGAAACTTACCCCGCGACTGTTTTCGGACTACACTTCCCAGAATTCTTAGCGTGAGCGAGGGGGCGTGACCTCACACTCAAAAGCGGAAGTTCTCACATAACGTTGTTCCTGGACTACGCGTCCAGGAACGCCATCGCCTTTCTAAGAGCGGAAGCACCGACTGAACATGGAGAGTCCATTGGAATTTCAGTCAGAAAGAATTAACGTTCCTCTCTCTATTATATTGAATCATTGCTTAGTAGGGAGGAATGCGTTGTATAGTTCAGAAACAAAGGTTTGCAATATATACTTTTGCATTTTCCCCAGCCCACTTTGCATTCATGACGTGATAGGTGATTGTCCAGGATCTTGTGGATCTTTTGAACTACAATTCTCAGAATGTCCTGCGGACAGCCAATTGCCTCGAGGTTACCCTCTCTATTTGAACTGTCAATTTGAGTTAATTTTCTAATAAGCAATAGAATGGTTTACACATACAAATACACACATCCTACATAAAATACAATTTTAAAACAAAATTAACAAATAGTTATTTTAAATCTCCATGTGTATGGAGCCAGAACAATTGGTAGAGCGTTTGCCTTTATGCGGCTGACTAGGATCCAATCTCCAGCATCCCATATGGTTCCCCTGAGCACTGCCAGGAGTAATTTCTGAGTGCGGAGCCAGGAGTAACCCCTCAGCATCGCTGGGTGTGACCCCAGCAGACATAAATCAATCAATCCCCATACATACGTTTAATACTATAAGTCTCAGCCCCAAGATCATCCCTCTTCACTCTCCTTTATGGTTACAGAACAGCCAATTGGCTGAGTCTGACTGTTGGGGTTTGGTAAGACATTAGACAGCAATCCTAGAGTAGGAAGAAAAGATTTAGTAGTTCCCATTATCATCCAGACAATAAGATTTCTTGTAGCAGTCTAATATGACTGGCATTTGACTAGTTTCATTACAGTTCCTCTTAGAAGTGTTCAAGCAGCTCCTTTCATTAATAGATTGTTCTGATGCAGACTTGGAAGAGTCTCATACAATTCTTTGTGGTGTGTGTGTGTGTGTGTGTGTGTGTGTGTGTGTGTGTGTGTAGGGGGGGCGGATTGGGGCCACATCTGGTGATACAAGTGCTATCACTGTATCACTGTCCTCCCTTTGTTCATTGATTTGCTCGAGTGGGCCCAGTAACGTCTCCATCATGAGACTTGTTGTTACTATGTTTGGCATATTGAATAGGTCATGGGTAGCTTGCCAGGCTTAGCCATGTGGGCGAGATACTCTCGGTAGCTTGCCAGACTCTCCGAGAGGGGCAGAGGAATCAAACCAGGCTCCACTGGGCTGGCTGCGCGCAAGGCAAACACCCTACCGCTGTACCATTGCTCCGGCCCACAAGTACTATAAGAATAAAATTATTGTAACTGGCCATTTAAAAAATTTCTTTTTTGGGGTCAGATAAAAGTGCTGTTCATCTACTTATCCATTAAATGGTCCCCTTGGGTCATTCCAAGGGACTAAACTTTATAAAGTTTAGTTCCTATCAAAAATCACTTTTTTGAGGGGGGGCACATCTGGCAGTGCTCAGGGCTTACACCTGTCTCCATGTTCAGAGATCACTCCTGGTAGGGCTCTGAGGACTTTATACAGAGTTGGGGATTAAAATTGGGTTAGCTGCTACTTCAGGAAATAAAAGAGGACATGAGAAAATGGAAAGATATCCCCTGCTCATGGGTCAGAAGAATTAACATTGTCAAAATGGCAATACATCTCAAAGCATTGTACAAATTCAATGCAATCCCTATAAGGATACCCATGACATTCTTCAAAGAAATGGAGCAAGCAGTCCTGAAATTCATATGGAACAATAAGCCCCCACGAATAGCTAAAGCAATTCTTGGGAAAAAGGAAATGGGAGGAATCAACCTCCCCAACTTCAAACCCTACTACAAAGCAGTAATAATTAAAACAACATGGTACTGGAACAAAAGCAGAGCTGCAGACCAATGGAACAGGGTTGAATATACTGACATCTCCCCTCAATTATATGATCATCTAATCTTTGATAAAGGAGCAAGAAATGTGAAGTGGAGTAAGGAAAGCCTCTTTAACAAATTGTGCTGGAAAAACTGGATGGCTACATGCAAAAAAATGGGCTCAGATCTCTGCCTAACACCATGTACAAAAGTAAGATCAAAATGGATTAAAGACCTCAACATCAGACCGGAATTCATAAGGTACATTGATGACAAAGTTGGCAAAACCCTCCATGATACTGAAGCTAATAGTATCTTCAAAGATGTCATGCCACTGGCTGAGCAAGCAAAAACAGAGATAGATAAATGGGACTATCTTAAATTAAGAAGCTTCTGCACCTCAAAAGAAACAGTGACCAAAATACAAAGACAGTCTACAGACTGGGAAAGGATATTCGCTGAATACACATCTGACAAGGGGTTGAAATCAAGGATATATAAAGTACTGGTTGAACTCCACAAGAAGAAAACATCCAATCCCATAATAAAATGGGGCAATGAAATGAACAGAAACTTTCTCAAAGAAGAAATCTGAATGGCAAAAAGGCACATGAGAAAATGATCTATAGCACTAATCATCAGTGAGATGCAGATCAAAACCACAATGAGATACCATCTCACACCTCAGAGACTGGCCCATATCCAAAAGAACAAAAGCAATCGGTGCTGGTGAGGACGTGATGAGAAAGGGACCCTCCTTCACTGCTGGTGGGAATGCCGACTGGTTCAGCCCTTTTGGAAAACAGTATGGACAATTCTCAAATAATTAGAAATTGAGTTCCCATTTGACCCAGCAATACCATTCCTGGCAATGTATCCCAAAGAGGCAAAAATGTATAGTCAAAATGACATCTGCACCTGTTTGTTCATTGCAGCACTCTTTACTATAGCCAGAATCTGGAAAAAACCTGAGTGCCCAAGAACAGATGACTGGTTAAAGAAACTTTGGTACATCTACACAATGGAGTACTATGTAGCTGTTAGAAAAGATGAAGTCATGAAATTTACATACAAGTGGTACTATATGGAAAGTATCATGCTAAGAAAAATGAGTCAGAAAGAGAGGGACAGACATAAAAAGAATGCATTCATCTGGGGGACATAAAGTAACAAAACAGGAGATTAATACCCAAGAATAGCCGAGATCAGTACCAGGAGAATTAATCCATGGCTTACAGACCAGTCGGGCATGCTAGGGGAAAGGGCAGCTCAGATAGAGAAGGGAGCACCAAATAAAGGGTGTTTGGAGGATCCTCCCAGGATGGGAGATGCATGTTGAAAGTAGACTATGGACCGAACATGATTGCCACTCAATGCCTCTTTTGAAGACCACAACACCCAAAAGAAGAGAGAGAACAAAAGGGAATGCCCTGCCACAGAAGCAGGGTGAAATGGGGGGGGGTTGGGGTTGGGAGGGATACTGGGATCCATGGTGGTGGAAAATGGGTACCGGTGGAGGGATGGGTATTTGATCATTGTATAATCGAAACCCAAGCACAAAAATTTGTAAGTCTACAACTGTACCTCATGGTGTTTCACTAATAAAAAATTTTAAAAAAAGGGTTGCATGGGTTAGCTACATGCAAGCCAAGGGCCTAATGTGCTGTACTGTCTCTCCAGGACCCCAGCCCCCCAGATGTTATGTTCTTTCTTTCTTCAGGAAATTTATCTATGTTCTCTGATATCTTAGTCCAACCCCCAGCTATATTTATTTATTTATTTATTTAGTCACAGCCAGCAATGCCCAGGATTTACTCCTGGCTCTGTGCTCAGAGGACCAGAGAGGATAGTGCCAGGGATTAAGACTAGGTTGGCTGCATGCAAGGTGAGTGCTCTGTCTGCTGCACTATCTTCCTAATCTCCCCCCCCCCCATTGTCACTTTAGATTTCTCTTTTTTGGCTAAAGTGTGTGTGTGTGTGTGTGTGTGTGTGTGTGTGTATTTTTGAGCCATACTTGGTAATGTTCAGGGCTTACTCCTGGTTCAGCACTCAGGGCTCACTCCTAGTGATGCTTGGGGGGTGTCAGGGATGAACTCCAGGGCAGTCATATGCAAGGCAAACATCCTCCCTGCTGTGGTATTGCTCTAGCCCCTCTCAGCCAATTTTTAAAGAACGTTTCAGAATCAGAAACTACGGGTCCAGAATAACCCATAGGATGAGAATTTAGAAATTTAGGGGCCGAATTCAAACCAGGCTCACACCAGGAAGATGTGAACCAAATCTTAATCATATAAATCACCACAGCTCTTCTGTCTAGAAAGGCATTCCTGTGCATTTCTCCCAAGCACAGCCAGGGTGTTCCCCTCCCATGAGAAGACTTTCTTGTTAGGAAATATATCAAAGGAATGGGCCACACTATGTGAATTGAGGTGGAAATCTGAGATGCAGCATTATAGCACTTTGGGTCCATCAGGAAAAGCCTGCCTGGCCTCAGAACTGCCCTTAATTCTCTCATCCTCCTGTCAATCCTTTTCCTGCTCAAATTCTGTTTACCGTTCCCCAGGGAAACCTTCTGGGAAGAAATATTCCTGGGAATCTATATCCAGAGTGAACTGCGTAAACTAATTTACATGGAGATCTCCACCCTGAGTCTATGCTGCATGGTGACCATGCTGCCCTAAGCAGATGGACCAGAGAAGGAACTGTTTGTCTATTTTTCACTTTTACTCATTGTATCATTTGTCACAACACAAAGTAAGTTCCAGGAAAATCAGGTTTCACCCTAAGAATCACAAAGATCCAGAATTATTCCTCTCTGTTCTTGTTTTTGTTTGGGGGGGCCACACCTGACAGAACTCAGAGCTCACCACTGACTCTGTGCCCAGGGATCATTCCTAGCAGACTCGGGGGACCACATGGAGTGCTGGGATTGAATCCAGGAGAGCTTTGTGCGAGGCAAGTAATTTATCTGCTGTATTATCTCTCTAACCCTTCTTTTAGGTTCTGATCATATACCTCACAATCCTTGTGATCAGAAGAAATCCTCTATACTTTTAACTTGCATTATGCACTTCATTTCAGAGCCATTTAACCATTTAAAACAAAAGCCTCTTGTATACAAAGTGCTGCCTGATATGGATGACAAACTACTGTGGAATTTGCATCATAAAAATGATACACGTAAAGCCCCATCTTCCTGCCTAGATTCTAATAACTACAGAATATTTCCAACTCAACAAGCCCAGCGGTATAAAACTTTCATTTACTTTTGCTGGAAATAAGGTCTAGCTTAGTGGGAAATGCTCTGTAGCGTCTAAGTGGCACTCTCTTAGAAGCACACCTGAGTGTTTCTTGCAAGGCAGGGTGCTATTTCGGTGCGACTATTACAGAAGGGCCACATTTGACTTGGTCTATGGAACTGCTAAGGAAGACCGGGTGATTCAGAGGTCTCCCTGCTTGGAATTGATTTCTGGGCACAGACTGTCTTTACTCTAACTCTTCTCAAGACAAGTACGCCCCTTCACAAAACAAAGAGGAATCAACTCTGGGCTACAAACCGTCTCCATGCTCGTTACAGATAAGGTGTGTCCTGGGTATGGGTGGCCTGGTGCCGGAGCAGCTTGGTGCTATTGATGAACGCTTTCCCGCACTGCCGGCATGAGAAGGGCTTCTCCCCGGTGTGAGTCCTCTGGTGCACAATGAGCCGGGCGCTCAAGCTGAAGGTCTTCCCACACTGTTCGCATGCGTAGGGCTTCTCCCCAGTATGGGTCCGCTGGTGCTGGGTGAGGCAGGAGCTCTGGCGGAAGGCCTTCCCGCAGCGGCCACACACGTAGGGCTTCTCGCCTGTGTGCGTGCGCTGGTGGACCACCAGCACGTAGCTCTGGCTGAAGGCCTTCCCACACTGCGGGCACGCATAGGGCTTCTCACCCGTGTGCGTGCGCTGGTGCATGGCCAGGTGTGAGCTGCGGTTGAACGCCTTGCCACATGCGGCACACTCATAGGGTTTCTCGCCTGTGTGGGTCCTCTGGTGGGCCACCAGCTGGGAGCTCCAGCTGAACGCCTTCCCGCACTGCTGGCACTCAAAGGGCTTCTCCCCGCTGTGTGTGCGCTGGTGGGCTGCCAGCTTGTAGCTCTGGCTGAAGGACTTGCCGCACTGGGCACACTCAAAGGGTTTCTCCCCGGTGTGGACCCGCTGGTGGGCCACCAGCTTGTAGCTCTGGATGAAGGACTTGCCGCATTGGGCGCACTCATAGGGCTTCTCGCCTGTGTGCGTCCGCTCGTGGGCCAGGAGCTTGTAGCTCTGCCGGAAGGCCCGGCCGCACTGCCGGCATGCGTAGGGCTTCTCGCCCGTGTGGGTCCGCTGGTGAACCACCAGCACGTAGCTCTGGCTGAAGGCCTTCCCGCACTGGTCACATCTGTAGGGCTTCTCCCCGGTGTGAGTCCTCTGGTGTGACACCAGGTGAGAACTACGGCTGAAGGCCTTGCCACATTCCACACATTCGTAGGGCTTCTCCCCCGTGTGCGTTCTCCGGTGCGCCAGGAGGTGGGAGCTCCAGCTGAAGCTCTTCCCACATTGGTCGCAGGCCAGCGGCTTCTCCCCGGGATGGGTTTTGGTGTTCTGAGAAAAGGGTGTGGCCTCCTGCGGGGCGGTGCGACATTTATACTGGGGCTCTTCCGTGGGGGCTTGCTCACGCTCTTTCAAATCAGAGGACTGTTCCCCTGCATGGATTTCCTCATGCATAGATCGGGGTGCACCGTGGGCAAAAGACTGAATAGTGTTCCCACATCCGTAGGCCCTAGCGTCTTTGTGAGCTCTCGGAAACTGAATCAGTTGAATGCCCAGAGTGGGGTTTCCACATCCATGGCTTTTATAGAGTTCCTCGCTGTCATCAGTCCCCTGAAGACTCATCACAAGAGAATTAAGATGCAACTTTTCCACTTGTGAAGCACGTTTATGAAAATGGCTTCTTATGGGTACCCTCTGAGGTGAGATGAGACTGAAATTATCCTTTAACTCTGCACTTTGGCAAACTCTTTCATGAACACAGGCTTTCTGTTGAACTAGGGATTCCCCCTTCCCAAGTCCCTCTTGTTTTCCCTGCTGCTGCTGAGGGTCTGTACCATCCTGAACTTTGTGCGGAGATAATTCTGGGTCATCTTTCATCACCCTTTCCAGTTTCACTCTAGAGGGGGGTGAGTCATAAAAAAGGTTCCCCTTTGATGGTGCTTCTCCTCTTCCAAATTCTGCTGCCAAGACTGGAAGAAAGCAAAATAAAACACCCTCATGCAAAACTATCAGAACTAGAAGAGTGGAGGAAAAGCAAGCATAGAAGTCTGCAGAAGTGTCCTGGAGCTCTAGAACCTGGAAAGTAAATGGGTGGAATGGGTGGGTTGAAGAGATGAATGAAGAGCTACAACAACTCAACAGCAGAAGAAACTAAAATCAAACTTTCCTTGTTGTAACTATGCTAAATAAAACTCCAGAAGTCAAGCGATCTCCATATTCCAAAAATACAATTAAAACTCAGGACATATGGGATTCTCAGGATCAGTTTTACAATCCTTAGCAAAGACATGGAGGTCCTTTCCATGTATTTTAGGGACAAACACATGTTCACGGATAAAAGATTCGTGTTTACATAGTTCATTTTTTTTCCTGCTTTCAGAGTCAGGAGTAACCCCTGAGCATTGCCAGGTGTTATCCAAAAAGCAAAAGAGAAAAATTACGAGAAGGGTCAGATAGTACAGTGGGTAGAGCTTTTGCCTCGCACGTGCCGACCCATGTTCAATTCCCAGCATCCCATATGGTTCCCTCTCCCCCCCCCCCCCCCCGAGTACTGCCAGGAGCAATTCCTGATTGAAGAGCCATGAGTAACCACTGAGCATCACCAGGTATGACCCAAAAAGCAAAAGACACTGGGGCTTGAGTGATAGCACAGTGGGGAGGGCATTTGCCTTGCATGTGGCCAACCTGGATTCAATTCCCAGCATCCTATATGGTCCCCGGAGCACCGCCAGGAGTAATTCCTGAGTGCAGAGCCAGGAGTAACCCCTGTGCATTGTCGGGTGTGACCCAAAAAGCAAAAAATAAATAAATAAATAAATAAATAAAAAGCAAGAAACAAAAAATAAAATAAAAACACTTAAAAAATTAACCATGAAGATTCTATACAATCACATTCAAAAAGCTGCCACCTTCTCCTCTGAGCACCACCAGGAGTGAGCCCTGAGTGCAGAGTCAGGAGTGAGCCCCAAGCATTGGCAAGTGTGGCCAAAAAACAAAAACAAAAAGAAGCTACACCTTTTTAGTTTTTTGAGGGATGGCACAGGGGTCATACTTGCTGTCCTCAGGGCTTACTCCTGGCTCTGTGCTAGGGATCACTCTAGATGGTGCTCAGGGGAACCATATGGGGTAGCAGGGATTGAATCCAGGTCAGCCACATGCGAGGCAAGTGGTCCCAGGAAGCTATACCTTTTTTTAACCTACATATAAAAAATCAAATTTTTTAGGAGATCCAAAGCACAAACATGAACTATGTGCTCAAATTTTTCTCACCTCAATGCTACGGCTCTCTTATCAATGGAAACGATAAATAATTTCATTGCAAAGATGTCATAAAGAAAACCGTTTCCTTACCCCAAGAGATCAGGTCCCTGTGGTTCTCCGGAACCACATCCCTGTCCAGGGGCCTCTGGGCGGGATTCACACTGGCCTCCTCTTCCCCAGTGAAGTCCACAGTCACGACTTTGAAGTCTGTCCCTTCCTGAAATAGGTCACATGATCCTGCTCAGCTGGGCAATATTACTCCCTTCCAGTGCTCACCGTGATGGGGAAGTGTGACAGATGGAAAAATGAGAAGTCAGACGCTGCCCTGAGAGTGTCACTGTCCAAAGGTCTTTAGGGTAGGCATTGTAGATGCCTCCTCAGGAAGGTCTTTGGGCTTTAGATGTTGGACCTGCTTTTATATCTCCCCACATCCCCAGAAAAAAAAAGAACATTTGAGAAGAACTGACATAAACGCTCTTCTGGGATTCTACCTCCTCATTCTTTTCCTCATATTTGTTCCACACACTCCTCACTTCTCAAAATCCCTTTCCCATACCTTTACTGGGCCCCGAGCAATGCATCTGCTCCAATGAAATTCTAAAGTATCATCTGTTACCAATTAGTCCTCATACACCGTGTGTTAATGAAGCCCACCCGCCTCCTCAGACTCCCTCCTTTCACATCCTCACAGCCTCATGGGGGCTTGGTCTCCAAGCCCCAGTGGTTGAGGGTCTGCATAGAAATGCATACAATATATATTTTTTTAATTTGTTTTTTTTGGGGGAAAGGGTAGGAGGTTGGCCACACCTGACTATGCTCAGGGCTTACTCCTGGTGGTGCTCAGGGGTCACTCCTAGAGATGCTTCGGGGACTACACTTGGTGCCGGGGATCTGGCCTGGCTCAGCTGCACGCAGGGCAAGTGTGCACCTGACCCCATGTCCTATCTCTCCAGGCCCCTCGATACATGCCATCTTAGCCTCACTTCTTTGGGGCCTTGTCCTACCAGCCCATGGCCCAGCACCTGGACTCCCTCCCCTGAAAACCTCTACCGAGGGCTAATCCTTCAACTCAAGAGTCTGCGTGATTTCAGCTCACATCCCTCAGCGCATTCACCCTGGCCCAGCACCCAGTGATAAGAACAACATCGCTTAAGTACTTATGAGGTGTCAGGAGTGCGCCCTGCAGGACACAAGCAACCCTGTTCACCTTTCACGAAGGCTCCTGGGAGAAAGCACACGCATCAGCCGCTCAGGCAAGGAAGAGCCCACACTACCAGATGTAAGCAGCTGGCTGTGCCCCCAAGTCTGTCCGCCACCAAACACGTTCTTAGCAGTTCACAGGGCCCTGCAGCTGCTCCTTGCGAGGGCCCCTGACCCTTTAGACTCACTTCAGGGAATTCCAGCCCTCTGATCACCTGTGCCCAGCTGATCACTCAGAGCACATGGGCCTAGTGTGCTCACAGGCATCACACCAGACTGCCCCCCTCACTCGATGACACCCCTCACTCTGCACATCCTCCATCCTCTGGGCCGTGATCCCCCTGAGATGACTAATCTACGCCATCTACTCTTCTCTTTAACACCTTCCTATCTAATTCAATTTAAAACCTATCATTCATTTATTATTGGTTTTTTGTTTGTTTGTTTGTTTTGTTTTGTGGAGGGGCACACTCAGCAGTGCTTAGGGTTTACTCCTGGTTCTGTATTCAGGGATCACTCCTGGTGGGGTTCAATATGGGGTTCCAGGGATCAAACCCAGGTCAGCTGCATGCAAGGCAAGTGCCCTAATTGTTCATTTTAATGTATTTAACACACTAACACATTTCAAAAGAAATATCTTTTGTCAGTTACCTTGACCTATCTATGGGACTTATGCCTGCCAGATTACAAAAGCTAAATGATAACCAATAATCTTTCAGTATCTGTATTGCAAACCATAATGCCCAAAAGGGAGGGAGGAGGAAGGGGAGTGGAGAGAGAGAGAGAGAGAGAGAGAGAGAGAGAGAGAGAGAGAGAGAGAAAGAGAGAGAGGCCAAACTGGGGACATTGGTGGATTGGTTGTGGCAAATGTACATTAGTGAAGGGCTGCTTGTTGGAACATTTTGTAACTGTATATCTCACTGTGACTCAATTAAAAAAATAAATAAAAGCTAAATGAATTTGAAAGTCAAATATACTGACATTGGAAATTGACTTTTCACTTTTATGGAAAGTAAGTTACAGAAGGTCAATAGGGAGGGGGAAACACACAAAAGCAGCTGGATGAAGTATTACCAGCGGACAGTATTAGGGTCAGGGCATTATCAACTTACGGTGCTTTTAGACTTATTGGAAGCCCAATTATGCTTTCTTATTCTCTCATAATTCAAAATTACTTTTTTGGGGTTGTTTTTGGGCCACATCTGGTGTGCTCCGGGCTTACTCCCGGCTCTGCACTTAGGGATCACTTCTGGCGGCAGTTGGGGGGGCATCTGGGGGTGCGGGGATGGAATCCAAGTCGGGTGCCTGAAAGGCAAACATCTTATCTACTTCTCTGCCCTCCACCCAAATAACTTTTTTTCCCCTGGTTTTTGGGTGACACCCAAGTGGCGCTCAGGGCTTACTCCTGGCTCTGCACTCAGGGATCACTCCTGGCGGGGATCAGGGGACCATATGGGGTTCCAGGGATGGATTCGGGTTGGCTGCATGCAAGGCAAGCACCCCCTCCCTGCTGTACTATTGCTCCGGTCCCCTAGATGACTATTTTTAAGACTCTTTTGCACCAGTCATACACCATTTCAATTTCTACTTCAGTTCCCCAAAGGTAACTTCATCTGAGTATTCACAGAAATAAATCCGCACCTTCACGTGGCTCCCTTGGACTCTGAGTGACCTTCTCTCTGTGGAGTCAGTCAGCTGCCTCAGAGGAGACAAGGGTTCTCTCTGCCAACTCGTAACTTCTTCTTTTTTTTTTTTTTTTGCTTTTTGGGTCACACCCGGCGATGCACAGGGATTACTCCTGGCTCTGCACTCAGGAGTTACTCCTGGCGGTGCTCAGGGGACCATATGGGATGCTGGGAATCGAACCCGGGTCGGCCGCGTGCAAGGCAAACGCCCTACCCGCTGTGCTATCTCTCCAGCCCCAACTCGTAACTTCTTGTACTTCACTATCACCTTCCTGTCATTTCTTAAACCAAAGTAAAATCACAAGGCACCTCCACCTGAGAACTTTTTGCCTCTGTCATCTCTTCAGCGCTTTCAGGGGACCCGCATTTCCTGAGGAGCTGCTCACCTCCATTTCCTCCTTTGCTCCTCATCTCTCCCCACACACAGATCGGGGGTTCTGTCTCCTGTCACAATGCGCGTTTCTCAACCCAAGGACGAGGCCATGTCCTACCTGGGGTGGGCCGGCCAGTGGCCCCTCATCTTCTATCTCAACTTTGATGATGGTCTCTGGAGGCAGCTGAGTATCCTAAGGGTGAGAAAAGAGAGAAACCAGGCTGGGAGTTACAGCCCAGAAGACCTGCCTCCACACATCCCTCCACAGGGGAGCCCCAGGCTGGGGGACCAGGTATGGGCACCAGGACATTGCGCAACCCTCAGACACTGGCCCAGCCCCCAGGTAAACGGAGTCGAGGGGGAGATGCTAGGTACTTCCTGCCAGGAGAGACCAGATCCGTTTTAGGATTTCCTGGATCACAGGATTGTCAATACAGTGTGACCAAAGCCATCCCTGGGAAGGGGTCCTCAGATGAGCTTCATAATCTGAGGATTATGATCACGTTCATGGCTAGGGCCTGAACGACAATATAGCAGGGAAGGCATTTGCTTTGCATGTGTCCGACCCGAGTTTGATCCTCAGCGTCCCACATCATCTCCCAAGCACTGCCAGGGGTAATTCCTGAGAGCAGAGCAAAAAGTAACCACTGAGCATGGCTGAGTGAGGACACACACCCCTTTTCCCACTGCCAAAGAGAAGAAAAAATGTTGACGGTGTGTAAATGCTATTCCCTTCACACTTACTACAAATACCCTCTGTGTCAGGCTGTCCTCGGGTGCCGATCTCTGCTTCAGTTTCCATTTCTGGTCTTCCCACAATCCCTCTGACATGGCCTTTCTCCCGTGGTTCTGCTCCTCCCCAAATAGCTGCCAGAGGGCAGAGGGGCAGAGGGGGCCAGAGCTTTCGTTCCATGTTCCCTCCAGGCCAGCTGTCAGCACGAGAGTCTGGGGCCATCTCCCATGAGTGAGAGAGTCGGGATGAGGCAGAGGGGGTGGGATCCCTGCCTCCGAGGGTCCCCGAAGCATCACTCACCTGAGCAGAGGCTGGCAGGGGCACTGGGGGCTTCTCGTCTGGCTCCTCCATGTGCTCCTCCATCAGGGAACTCCTGTGGGTCTGAGTGCAGGAGGAGACACCCTGAGAACATCACCCTCAGCAGGCACACACTGAAATCCTCAGTCCTCAAACTGCTCACTACTCACACTCCCCAAGGAAAGCATGCTTCTGTGGCGTCCTGCCCAATATCTGTCCCTGTCACGGCTGACTCTGGCCTCCACCCACCTCTTCCCTGAGCCTCACCACCTGTCCTCTGCTTGCCTTGGGCCATACAGCACAGACTGTACCCTGGTTGCTTTTGGGATCCCTCACCAAGATGCAACCCATTGAGGACCCCTAATATGCAGCTCCTTCCCCTTTCCTAGATCAACACCTCCTCTGAGAACAAGCAGCGGGGCTTAGAAATGTGCTTGTGTGTGTGCGTGTGTGTGCATTAGAGGAACACACAGCAGGTAGGGGGTTTGCCTTGCATGCAGCTGACCCAGGTTGATCCCAGGCATCCCATCATTCCCTGAGTACTGTCAGGAATAAGCCCTAAGCACTGCCTGGTGTGCCCTAACCGTTTCTGGTCTTCCCACAATCCCTTCCCCCCCCCCCCAAAAAAAAAAGATTAATCCGCTTCCGGATTCCAGATCCAGTACCTGTCTGATCTACTAACCTCATCTGCTCCACACAGCCTCCCACTCACAGGTCCTCCCCCACTTCCTGCTCAAATGGCCAAGTGCTGGCACAGGGAGTCCTGGTTCCTTCACACCCCAGGTCTGTGGGTCCTTACAACACACCACCAGTAAGGCCCTGGGCAATAGCTCATTGGCAAAAACACTTGCTCACAAGTGTAGACCCTGAGTTCGACCCCCCCAGTGTCAACCACATACTAATGGTGGTGTCAGTATCAACTGAAAAGTGGAGAATTTCCAGAGAACACCATGGGAGAGGCCGGGAGCATTGCAGCCATGGGTGGGAACCTCCAGTTATTTAACAGTGATGGGAAGGAGAAAGAACAGAGCCAGCCTAGATCCGTTCCTCCTACTCCCAGCCCTCCCAAGTCCTGGATTTTTAGCTCTATCTCCTTCCTACATCAATCCGGGGGCCTTCAGGCCAGAAATGGCACAAGGGACTGGGACCAAGGGGCCTTCCGTGGGAAAAGTTTAATAAGTCCTGGTCTGGAGTGAGCAAATCTTCCAGGAAATGGAGCTCCATCATTTCTCCATCTCCGGGGTCCACTTCACTGTGGCTATTCTGTTCATTGGTGGGACGGGATTTTACACCTCCGACCGGGTGTCCCTATCAAATTCACACGCCATCCGGCTCTGCACAGCATCATGGGGTCCCGGGATGCTGGGTCAAAGTCCTGCTTCCCTTTGGGTCCTCCCCTCCTGGCACGTGCAAGGAACCAGGGGCCTGGAAAGGGCCACAAAACCGCGCGTCCCACCCGCGGAATCTGCAACCTGGACCCGGACCGTCCACGCCCTAGGCGTCCGCCCCGAGGCAGGCTGCTCCGGGTCCCCTGAAGCAAATGAGCAGGGCCAGCTCCCTGCTTCGTCTTCCCATTCAAACGCCTAAAGAAGAGCACAGAGCTGCAGCCCCGCCCATCTGGGAACCGGAATGTGCACCTGCAGATGCCCCATCAGCTCCACCGTCCGCAGGTCCTCCACTCAGCAGGGGGACCCCCGCCTCGGAGAGGGAGACCGGGGTCCTTCGGGACCCCCGCCCCTCACCTACCCACGGCTGTTTTCCTGCAGCCCGGGAATCCTGGGACCCAACGCGCCCAAGCACCCAGGCCATGCACAGCACAATGCCCGGCTCCCGAATCTGGAAGCACCGACTTCGGGGACCGCCCCCCACACCTGCCCACGTCGGTCCCAGCTCGCGCCCTCCACGCCCCAAGCAGAGCTGCGGGCCTGCGCATGCGCACCCGGGGTGCTCGCGCGGCCACGCCCCCCCACCGGCTAGTGCGTCCGCGGGGGTCGTCCCCGTCCGACTCGCGTCCGCGCCCGCGTCCAGCACCGCCTCTGCGGCAAGGACCAGCGCGCGGATCCGGGAGGCTACCTCGGCCCTCTGCCGGGGTCGGCATCCACCAGGCCTCCCGGGGGAGCCTCGGAAGGAGCCAGGGGCACGGCGACGGCAAGTGTCTGCGCGCGCTGGACAATGGCCGCGTGTCTGGCCCAACGGCCGAGCCTCTGGCCCAACCCGGAAGTGCCTCAGGGCGCCACGCGCCGGAACTACAATTCCCAGAAGCCCCTGCGGCGCACGGGCGGGGCTTAACCGCGTGGGGACGGGGCGCGCCTTGGGACCCTGCGGGTCCGGGAGGACACTTCGGGTCGGGGGTCCCGGTTCCGAGCGTTTGCGGGGCGCAGGGCGTAGGTGGTGGTGGTGGGGAGGAGCCGAGCGTCAGAGCTAATGCCAGTGGCTTTGGTGCGTCTGGAGGGCTTGGCTTGGGACAAACTGTGCCGGGCTGGCTGGTCCGCGGGTGGCTGTGAAAGTGGGATCCCGAGGGAACCGGCCGGGACTCCCTTTCATAAGTGCCCGCTGCCCGGTCACACGCTTAAAGTGCTTCACAGTCTCCCCGGGAGCCTCAGGGACAGCTGAGATATGGTCGCGACAAACCCGTTTTCCTGCCCAGAGCGCACCCCACTTCACGAAGCTGCAGGGGCACTGTGGTTAATAATCATCGTCAAATCGTCAGAATCCTTTTTTTTATTGTTTTAAAGCTGGAGTTCAGGACCTGAGAGCTAGTACAGGGGGGCTACAGCGCTTGCTTTGCGTGCAGCGGACCCCCAATTTGGATGCCCCCTCCCGCCCCCCCCATCACATGTGGCTTCCCAGCACCGCCAGGAGTGATCCCTGAGCGTAGGTCCTGGAACAGCCCCTGAACACTGCGAGTGTGGCGCATCCCCTGACCCCGCCCCCACCCACAAAATAAAGTAAGTTCTTTCTTTGCCTTAGAAGGCCCAGCTGCTGTTGGGGGCTGGAGCGATAATACAGTGAGTAGGGCTTTTGCTTGCACGGGCTTACACGTGTTCGATCTATTGCATCCGAATTGGTCCATTGAGCACAGCTAGGAGTAACTCCAGAGTGCAGAGCCAAGAGGAACCCCTGAGCATCGTCGGACGTGATCCCCACCCTAAGTAAAAGCCAAAAAGGCCCCGCTGACTGCTGTCTGTGTCACCTGGTTCCAGCCTCACCACAGGTTTACAACTATGTCCTTAGAAGGCTCTCTGCGCCTAATCTCTGTCAGACTCACCCTCTGAGGACTTTCAAGGTGGAGTCTGAACTTTCAAAGGATGGTACCTTCTTATCAGGCTTCCTCCAGCTCTCCTTGTAAGCTGGCAAACAGTTTAGTCACTCCCCACACCCTACCTGATCATCTTTCTTTTCACTGCCAGACATTATATTACACAGGTGTATTTGGTCTGTGACTTACCAGCCTTCACCACTTGTCAGTTTCCGGGGAATTTTCTGTTTGTGTTTTGGGGGCATACCTGGTGGTGCTCAGGGCTTCCTCCTGACTCTGCTCTCAGGGATCACTTCTGGCAGCGCTTGGAGATTATACAGGTTGCAGGGGGTTGAACTTGCATGAGCCACATATATGGCAAGTGCCTGACCTGCTGTATTGTCTGTCCAGCCTTTATTGTTTGATTTGAATCTGAAAATCAGCCTGCAAATTTAACATCTGCACAGTAGAGCCAAGCCACATGTCAATTCTGTCTTTTATTTCTCAGTAGGATTTTGAAGGTTTCTTCTTGTGTCTTTTGATATCTTACTAAACTAATATGCAGAACTTTGGGGGGCATCTATTATGAATGAGTGTAAACCTTTTTGTGTTTTATCTGCAAGCAGTATTGCTAATGGCGAGGAAAGGCTCTGATGTGTAGGCAATGTCATGGATCATGATATCATTATATGAGAGCATTTATTATGTGAAAGTATATACTACTTAATGGGCAGGAGCAGATAGGGCACTTTACTTGCACATGGCCAACCCAGGTTCAATCCCGAGCATCCCATGTTGTCCCCTGATCCCTGCCAGGTGTAATTCCTGAGTGCAGAGCCAGGAGTTAACCCTGAGCATCACTGGGTGTGGCCCCCAAACCAATATATATAGGTGTATGTGCGTGCATATGTGTGTATGTGTGTAGTATATACCATTTGAAATTGAATAGGTACCAGTGACATGATATAACAGATGGCCTTGCATACAGCTGACCGAAGCTCAATCCCAGACACCACATGTGTTTTCCCATCCCTACTAGGAATAATCCCTGAGTGCAGAGCCTGGAGTAAGCCCTGAGCACACCAGGTGAGTGCTCCCAAAATTAAAAAATATGTATTTTAAAATAAAATTGATGGACTGGAGAGATGATTTCAGGACAAGAGTGGACCCTTTGCATGTGGAATCCCCTGGTTCGATCCACACTGGTATAAAATCAATGAAAAAAAATGAACTTGGTCTTTCCCTTGTCTCTCTGACAGGAGAGCAGTGCTTGCTTTCAGGAGTGCCTGAGGACAGGAAATACAGAACCCGGAATCCTGAGGCACAGGAATCTTTCTGGAAAAAGGCTCAAGGGAGCCAGAGATTTTTCACAAACCCACGGGCTCTAAATGCAGGGAAACAGAGGCTTGGGGGTGACTGAGGAGAAGATATTCTGTGGGTGAAAAAATAGATGTTCCTGTGACTTTGCTTCTTGCTCTGCTTCTTCAGCCCATATTTGCGAGAATCCATTGGGTGCGTCTATTCCTGGGGTCTGCAGGGGAGAGAACCTCTGTGGGCCTGAATGGTGCACATGCTGCATATTCCCAAGAAAGGACCATTGTCATCCCTCCAGAGCTCCTAAGGACCAAATTGTATAAGCTAAGTGAGATGCTGTGTTTTGATGCTACTGATAGACCAAGATTAGCGCACTGCATTTGATGAGGTGTAAGGAGAAGACAACCAACCTTGATAATATATATGTATATATATATACATATATATATATACACACACACATATTAGCACACAAGACTCAAAACTCTAACAACATGTTAATGATCTCCAATACAAGGGCTTTATGGCTCCGAGATAAGATACAACAATCTTAACACACTTTCCTCTCATGAAGACTTTTGGGATTGTTTTTAATCAATCGTTCATAACAAGCAATACAAAATAAATTATTTAGCATCTGCCCTTTGGGAAGACTTGGGTGGTGGTGATGGTAAAACTTGAAATAATGGTGGTGGGAACGTATAATGGTGGTGGGATTGATGTTGAAATATTGAATGCAATCAATTACTGTGAACAACTCTTTGAAAATAAAATTAATACATATCTAAGAGATGCTGTGTCTGCAGGCTTCGGGCCCAGAGATGAGGTGGACCATTGTCCACATAGATCAGGCTATAGTCTCCCAGCTGCTGGCCCTTGTTAGGTGGACCTCTCCTCCTTCCTTCCTTCCTTCCTTCCTTCCTTCCTTCCTTCCTTCCTTCCTTCCTTCTTTCCTTCCTTCTTTCCTTCCTTCCTTCCTCTTTCTTTCTTCCTCCCTCCCTCCCTCCCTCCCTCCCTCCCTCCCTCCCTTCCTTCCTTCCTTCCTCTTTCTTTCTTCCTCCCTCCCTCCCTCCCTCCCTCCCTCCCTTCCTCCCTCCCTCCCTCCCTCTTTTCCTTCCTTCCTTCCTTCCTTCCTTCCTTCCTTCCTTCCTTCCTCTTTCTTCCTTCCTCCCTCCCTCCCTTCCTTTCTTTCTCTTTCGCCTTCCTTCCTTCCTTCCTTCCTTCCTTCCTTCCTTCCTTCCTTCCTTCCTTCCTTCCTTCCTCTTTCTTCCTTCCTCCCTCCCTCCCTTCCTTTCTTTCTCTTTTGTCTTCCTTCCTTCCTTCCTTCCTTCCTTCCTTCCTTCCTTCCTTCCTTCTTTCTTTCTTTCTTTCTTCCTACTATTTGCCTGTTTGTTTGTTAATTTCAAAGCAATACTGTGGACTGGAAGAGAGAGGGAGAAAAAGCCTCACATTCCAGGGATCCTCCTACATCGCTTATATCCTCTTTTTAGCACTTCCAAATTATCCATGATCAGGGGCCGGAGAGAGAGCATAGTGGGTAGGGTGCTTGCTTTGTACACAGCCAACTCAGGCATGATCCCTGGCACCCCATATTGCCCCATAAAAACAAAAAATAAACAGTGAAGATTTGGTGGACCCTGAGTAACACGTTGAAATAAAAAGTCACACAGATTATATTGTCTGGCTACCCATGACATATTTGATATACCAAAAACCTAACAACAAGTCTCACAATTTTTTTGTGAGGCATTACTGGTGCCTGCTCAAGCAAATCGATGAACAACAGGAGGACAGTGCAGTGCTACTCTATGATTTCAAGACAAGTCACAAAATATGTGGTGAAGTGGGATTTTTCTGGTTCTTCTGGAGCTAATACTCATCTTCTGCTGGAAACAAGGCACTGTTAAAGAGAGAATTGGTGATTGACACTTTCTGGGTGGGCCTCTGGGTCAGCTTGCTCTAAAGCCCTGGGTTTAAACAGCTGGCACACTTCTTTCCCCACTCTTGGAAAATCCAAAGATCTTTCCCCTTTTTTAACTGCACTTCAGACTCTGTGTGGGTCCCAGAATGGCCCCTATGATTTCCCCTGTGGAGGACAGATTTGTTTGTTTAGTTTTGGAGACACACTTGATGATGCCCAGGGGCCTGCTCCTGGCTCTGCACTCAGAAATTACTCCTGTTGGTGCTCGGGGTGGGGCATTTTGTTTTTTTTGAGGGGGTGGGAAATTTTGAGGCCACATCTGGTTCTGTATCCAGGGGTCACTGCTGCAGGTATCAAGGTATCAATTAGCCACTGGACTCAGCTCTTTGCGAAGCATGAGCCTTACTTCATCCAGTCTCTCCAAGGGGTCTGAGTACCTCATTACCTGAATAGTTGGAGACAGCGTGTGGTCATTTGACACAATAAAATCGAAAAATTGAGACAACTTGGTAGAGAATCTGCAAAGGGACAGAGAGGGCGGTCAGGGCCCATCGGCATAGGGACCCCAACAGCAAGAGGCCCCAGGTTCCTGTAAAGACCCAGGGGTGGAGGCTGAGAGCACAGCAGGGAGGAGAGAAAAGCCCGGAGCAGCAAATTCTGCTGCTTCTCGGTCAAATCCAGCAAATTCATAGCCCTCAGA